CATAAATTATGTAATGATGATTGAAGCAATAATTTAATATTCTATGAAAATGAGTGGCACTAAATAAGCTAAACGGTCCTGTACAACAGTTAGTATGAAGGAAGCACGAGGAACAAGGCCAAGATTCCAAGCCCATTTTTTAAAAATGGCCTGCCAATAATCTTATCATTGCATCCATCTTTTTCCCTCTTGGATTGGCATGGAAATACTCGGGGGGCCAGACTCGTCCAGAAGTGAGCAGTTACTAATCGCGAACTTTTTCGGCTGTGTCCACATTTCCATTTACTGTAGCGCACTCGCTGGATTTAAATTGCTGGATTTTTCACCTGTGTTCACATGACATTACCCAAAACGCCTAGACACCCTGCACTTTACTGGGAAATGCCGCTGCTCGATTTGCTTCACGCAAATTTGAGCCCCTAATTCGCCTCTAGTCGGTGCAAAACAGGCGTGGCGACATTATAATCCGATTTGAAACGGGGAGGGGGGGGCTTTGGAGTACATGTTAAATTCGGTCCCGTGTCTACTTCGCCTCACACCTCTTTCCACCCGTTTTAAAAGGAGTGTGCGTGTGTCCTCGAGGGAGGCCATTTGCAAAGGGCTCCCTTTTCCCCTCAGGAGCCGAAAAGCAGAGCCCGCCTCCGTCGCGGCTGCCTCGGATGGGGCGCCATCTGCTGCCGAGCGCCGAGAGCGACCCTGGCGGGGATTGAACCCCGGGACGCGGCTTCCCCTCTTCTCCCCGGGCTGGGGCTGAGGCACCGGGGTCCGCCACCCCGGGGCCCTCATTGCTGTCGTCCTCCCGCGCCCCTTTGCCTACCCCAGCGCCCGAGCAATGCCGCGCCCAGTCCCTGCCTTCGGCCTCCCTCCTGCCCTCATCCGGGGAGGCGATAGGAAATGCCGCCCCGTCCTAGCCCAGCCCCGCCTCCCTCCCTCCTTCTACTTGGGGAGGGCCCCCCTCCCCAGAGCACGAAACTGCAGTTCTTTCGGGTTCCTCGGGAGTAAGCTCCGCTCAGGGTAATGAAGCTTTCGCTCCAGAACGTGGGCGCCCACGGGGGAGGATGTGGTTACCAGGCGGGGAGGGGAACGAGGGAGGCAGTAGCCAAAGACTTGTAACTATTGCGGGGTTGGGAGTCCGTCCCCCCCGCAAAAATAATAAACCTTCAGTGCCCGCAAAAGAGGGGTGCTTTTCATTTCAACTCCCCACCCTAGATCACAATTTGCGGGTGTACGAATCGCATCGAAGACCGGCCAACAAGCCGACCACACAGAGCCGCCCCTCGAGGCACAAAATAGCAGCGGATTAGAATTCATGTCCGGTTTGAAATGCTCATGTGAAGATCTCTAGAAGGGAGGCCAGTGGTTATTTTGCTGCCAGGGGCATGCACTCTGCATATGCTCAGAGCCCTATTGAATGCAGAAATGTGCTGCAACACGTGGTGCGCCCCACCCCACCCCGCCGCTGCTTATCATTTCCTCCCAGGATGGTACTTGAGCCTTTGTCACAGGAGGGCTGCGTGCCCCCTGCCAGTGACCTATCCAGGAAGCTGCATTGTTAGGTGGGGTGGAAAGCCTGCCGGTGGCTGCTGAGAGGTTGTAGTCGACTTATATCATCAACAACCATTTTAGTCAAGGGTCAAAGCTTAGAAGAGTTATAGTCAACATCTGGAGGGCTACAGATTTCGCAGGAAATGTGGATCTGTGCCATTTTTATGGGGGGGTTTTGATAGTGTGTTTTCCAGCTCCACTCACTCCACCTGGGCTGAGCATGTATTATCAACATAGTTGCAGCATATTTCTGCCTTCTCTCCAGACCTAATGAATATACATGGATTCAAAATATTTTACAGCAAACAGCAAAACATTCAAAAACCAAAATAACCAAGAAGCTCATAATAGCTACTAAAGGTAAAAAGGTAAAGGGACCCCTGACCATTACGTCCAGTCGTGACCAATTCTGGGGTTGCGGCACTCATCTCACTTTATTTTTCTATATATGGCATTTATTAACATGACAAAGGCCTTTGACACGGTAAATCGCAATGCCCTGTGGACTGCCCTCTTGAAAATCAGCTGCCCAGCTAAATTGTGAACATCCTTCAGCTCCTCCATGATAAAATGACAGCAACAATCACAAATAACGATGGCTCTCAAAGTGATTCATTCAGTGGGATCAGGCGTTAAACAGGGTTGTGTTATTCCCCCAACTCTTTATTTTCATCACCATGATCCTACACTTTGTTGAAAGGAAACTCTCCACTGGAGTAGAAATCAAATCTAACCGATGGAAAGCTCTTTAATCTGAGTAGGCTGAAAGCAAAGAGTAAAGCTACCATAACTTCTAACATAAGAGATTCAATATGCCGAGGACAACATGTGTGCACACTGATAGGATGACCTTCAAGCCATCCTAAATATCTTCGCAGAAGCTTACGAAAGGTTTGGCCTATCGCTCAACATCCAAAAAACCAAAGTACTGCACCAACAAGCACAAAAAAACCCTCTGCAGCGCCACAAATCCAACTCAATTGTGTAATGTTGGAAAGAGTCAATCACTTCTCCTACCTGGGCAGTTATCTTTCCACAAGGGCCGAATGATGCCGAAATCCAGCCTCGCCTGAGCTCTGCAGCTTTCTGCAGTGTGTTTCAGGACTGGCACATTCACAGGGAAAGCAAAATGCCTGTTTACAAAGCCACTGTGCTACACCTTACTGTATGCTTGTGAAACATGAACCACATATAAATGCCATCTCCAACGCCTCAAAAGATTCCATCAACAGTGTCTTCGAAAAATGTTACATATCGCTTCGGAAGACAGTCGAACTAATGCCAGTGTACTGGAAGAAGCAAAGATCACCAGTGTCAAAGCAATGATTCTGCAACATCAACTCTGTGGGACTGGTCATGTTTGGATGCCTGATTATCGTTTTCCAAAGCAACTACTCTATTCTGAACTTAAAAATTGAAAGCGTAATGCTGGTGGTCAACAAAAGAGGTTTAAAGACTCTCTCAAGACAAATCTTTAAAAATGTTTTATAAACACCGACAATTGGGAATCACTAGCCTGCGAGCGCTCCAATTGGAGAACAGCCTTTACCAAATGTGTCATGAGCTTTGAAGATGCTCAAACTCAGGATGAAAGAGAGAAACATGTTAAGAGGAAGGCATGTTTGGCAAACCGTCACCGTGATCAACTCCCAAGAAACCTATGTCCCCACTGTGGAAGTACATGTGGATCCAGAATTGGCCTCCACAATCACTTACAGGGTGAGTGTTAAGACCGTGTTCATGGAAGACAATCTAACGCAGCTATGAGTGATCGCCAGAGAAGATGAATCCCAGAGTAATGGCCCTATGCCACAATCCCATGCACATTTACTTGGGAGTAAAACCCACTGAACACAGTGGGATTTACTTGCAAATACACATGCATAAACTTGTGCTGTCAACAATATTGATAATCTATATAGTTATTACACTTGTTGATGCCTGTAATCGTCCTGATTCTATTAATACTTGGTGAAGAGAGAAATAATCACATTTCCCTTCTACTGTAAGCTTTCTGGGGTCATTCTTAAATGGTTGGCAAGGAAAAATAGGTTAAAAAGATACTTCCTGAATGCTAAGATCCAAGTTTGAGGCCAAGTGCTCTTTGATGAGATTTAAAATCACAAAGCATGCAGCAAAGTAAAGCGTTGAAATAAACCCATTTAAAATATGCCCTTGTGAGTTCCTTCCAACGTTTCCCTTTTCCCTCAGCATAGAAAAATCTACGCATTTAGGAATGGTTTACTTACAAACTCTCCAAAGGTCAGGTTCATGTGATTTCCATACATCAGTCAGAAAACACAGGCAGTACAACTTGCCTCAGTTACAGTGGTGAATTTTCCTAAATTATTGGTACAGGAACACAACAATGGTTTGTAAGAGCCATGCAGCTAAGATGTAGCAACTACCTTAGCCTCTTCACACACTAAGTTTCTCTGGTAGACAGAAGGCAAACAAAGGCATTGATTACCCCCCACCCAAGGTGAGAGGGAGTGACCTAGCTAAACTTGGCAGGGCAGCTTACTCTATGGCATTAACCCCTTCATGCATTAATTAAACTTAACCATGTTAGTTATATGAGGCTGGTTATCCCATACTTCTCTAATTGCAGATTGATTATTGTCTACATGTGTACTTAGGAGCAAATTACCCTATAAAAGCTCAAATGTCTTCCTCCGCAGGATGCCAATTATTAGGACCTAGCAGACTCTATTAAACCTTATTACTACCGTGGCTTCAGGAGCTTCTACATGGCTACCTACACCTTTTCGACATAATCAAATATGCTGACTTCAAAGTGCTGAGTTGGGCGTGGCCTGGGCAGGGGAGTTTACTTGCACAACTGAGCCCTCGTGGAGACTCAGTAGATTACAGTCCGAACTTTAAAAAATAATAATGAAAATAGCCTTTGACCGCCACTATTCTCCATGCGAGTATCTTCGCATTTCTATGGCGATACTCCTCTAACAATCTGCAACGGAAGTCAGAAGTGAAAATCGACTTTAAGCCACGGGGCGCGATATTCGTATCAGTCCATATATAAAAATATAACTCCGTGTGGAAAAAACCGGCTGCCCCTGTCAGGAACCTTCTGAAAGAGGAAAACTATTCACCACGGGCGTGGGAAAACAACGCCTCCCTCACGTCCGGAGCGGAGGATGACGTCACTCTCGCGGCCCCGCCCTGCCCCTTCCTCGCCCAAAGGGAAGCGGCGCAAGACCGCAGCGATACTAGTCACTTCCGGCGCCTGGTTGAACCAATGCCAACAGAAAAGGCTCGGCTCTCGCGCCCCTCATATGGCGCCGCTCGAAAGAGAAGAGGAAATGAGGTTTCGCGCGTAATGTCCGGGCGGGCGTATCAGCTTTCACCGTTTTTTGAGCAGGAGCTGTTGAAATCAATGACCACGACTAAGTCACGCCCATTCCCTGCTCTGAGCACAAAACACCCCGCCCCACACTCCGTAGGTCAAGGGAGGGTGCGCGTGAGAGGGAAACCGCCATCCTAATCCCAGTTTCGGCCTTTCGTCAGCGGCAGTCGTAGAACGTGCATCTTTCCTGCGGACGCGGTGACGTCAGCGCGCCTTGCGGAAGGGCTCTCGCGTCGCTGCCGTGGTCGAGAACAGGAGGCGGAGGGGCGGGGGCGGGGCGGGGCTTAAGCCCCTCCCACTTTATCCGCCGCGTTGGCCACGAGAAGAAAGAACCGACGGAAAGGAGGGAAGACGCTCGTCAGCAGCAGAAGCAGCGGAAGAGGAGGAGGAGGCGGTCGGCGGTTTCTGCTGGCCAAGTCGGGATGGGCTTGATATTTGCCAAGCTGTGGAGCCTTTTCTGTAACCAGGGTGAGTAGAGCGGGGCTGGGGCTGGAGGGGCACCTGCGCCGCCGCTACCGGGCTGCTGCTTTTGCTGCTCCGTGTGGCATTTTTGCCGGGAGGGTTTCGTCTCGGGGCGGGGGGGGGTGTTTCCCGGGCTGCCCTTTAACGGGGGGGTCGGGGAGCTCGGTTGAGGGAGGGCAGCAATACCGCAGAGGAAGGGAGAGGGTCGTGATCCTGAAGAGACCTGGGGAGACATCTCAGTTGTGTCTGTAACAATTAGGGCTTTGCATTGGGTGGGAAGCGGGGTATTTATTGAGCCCTTTCTCCCAAGCAAGGAGGGGGCATCGTCCATGGTTCTCTTCCCCTACCCACCCGCCGTATGCTCACAGGAGCCCTTGGAGGTAGCTGAGGCCGAGAAGGAAGAAGTGTATGACTGGCCACTCGGGGTCTTTTTCTGCGGGGACTTGAACTTGGGTGTTTCCCCCCCCCCCCCCAGTCTTGGATCTCCCATGTTACGGAGGTGTACGAAAAAGGCAAGAGTGGCGTTGCGAGAGGGGACCGTTTTTATTTATTTTGATAGGGCGGAGTAACAATAGGGTAAATACAGTAATATGGGGGAAATGGTGGGCTGAGAAAGGAAGGGACTGTGAAAAGTTAATACAGTAAAGTTGGGAAATTAGGGGAGAGGAGGCCACTTGCTGTGAGTAGGAGCATCCTGTCTGTTTGACCAAAGGTGTTTTAATATAAACAGGGCAACAAGGACTGGTTTTGAGTCAGCGGGAAGGTGAGCTGGAGAAATAGGTATGATGAATAACAAGGGTGAATAATGGGGAGGCCAGGAAGTCAATTAGCCTGTAGATTGTAAGATGCTAAGTGCCAGCACATTTCAACCAAATTCAACTGGTAGTATACAGAACCTGTGAACAGGAATGTGGCAAAAAGTTAAAGTTGGAGTTTGAGTTTTCCCCCAAATGTAAAGAAATTCCATGAGTTCCTCAGCCTTGGCTGTTGGTGAAATCTGTGCAGGAAGTAATAAATTTGTGTTAAAATGTTGCAGTGTCTGTAACAACTTGCAAACCACCTTCTTTCATTTTTCTTTTGTGTTTCTTGAGAAAACACCCTGTTAAATGCAGAGAACAGTCATATTGCCAGCTGATCGTTTTTCCTTTTCTCTGTTCAAATTTGCAAGACGTATATGCTTTTGTCTAATCTTATTTTAAAAGCTTTGCCCACAAAATAAATGCATCTGTGTTCTCCAAGGCATGGTGGTTACTGTTTTTATACAACAGCAATCTGTTTTAATTTTAAAAACTCCAGCAATGCAGCATCTGCCTTGCATTCTTTAAGCTAAAATAGCATGCCAGATATATACATGAAGAAGCCATTCTGATGTCGTTCCTAAGGTGTGGGGGTGCCATGCAAAGCTGCCTTAGTGCATTCCTTTCTTAATGGAATACCTGTTAACATTTTATGAGGCATAATCAACAACTCCACTACCTTGAAGATACTGAACAAAGAATTCACACAAACCTACATTGTTTTAATTACATGGTGCTGATATTGGACCTCTGAGCTAAAGAAACTAACAGCGGTTTCATGTAACGAGATTGATGCAACAGCTATCATGCAAGACTTGCTCATCCCATGGATGTGTGCAAAACCTCTTGCCCTAGTGGTTGGCCACCAGTGTCTGATGAACTTCATGAGGTGTTTTCTCACTTAAGACCTGCTGCTTGGATTTGCCACCACGTAGAAACACTCAGCTTCCATATGCAGACCTAATGTCCGCACCACTCTTAAACTACTGCCAAAAACAATACCTGCTTGGCAGTAGTTTATTCTGTAATGGCTTCATTGAAAGACTGGTAAGAATAGCGGAAATGGTGTGGAGAGCGACAGTGGTAGGTTGTCTTAGCAATGATACATCTTTGCAAGAGTTGCATTGGGGAAAGAGGGAAGACCACTGAGCTTGATAGCTCACAATCTTACCTTTATCATGGGCTGCTGAGGCTTGGAAAGGTAGACTTCCAAGGAGCTAGTCTTCACTCTTTATTTGCCAACTTTGTCTTGGTTGATAATGAGCTCATGGGCTTCTAAGTAATTCATACTTGCTTTTCAATGACACCTGTTGACTTTGGAAAACAGCCATAGAGGCATCATTGGCTGTCAAAAGATCACTGTTGTTTTCTATCCTAGATACATCTTCCAGTCTTTTTGGGGAGGGAGATGTTCAACATGTTTGGAGTAACAAGGATGGGGCGGGGGCTCAGATCTAATCGCAAAACACAGCAAAATTAATCTATGGTGAGCCAGAAAAGACTTGGGGGACGGGATTGAGTTATTGAAAATATGGGTAGAGGTTGTCTTACCTAGTTGTATATGGGAAATGCTTATTGATAGCTGTCCAGATGGTCATATGAACTACTACACCAAGAAAAATCTAGAAGCATCATTGTATTACACTTTCATATAATCTATGGTATGTGATAACCTCAAGTTTACAGCAGCTTACAACTGTTCACTATTATGTATTGTAGAACACAAAGTAATAATTGTGGGCCTTGACAATGCTGGAAAGACCACCATTCTATACCAGTTGTAAGTATTTTAACAAGATAACATTCATTCCTTCAGATATGATACTGTTCATAATTCGAAATTATCCAGCTTTAAAGGTCTAGGAATCCTGTTGTCTTTGAAGCTTGATTTTTCCCCCCAGACTTGAGCAGATACATGGAAGCTTTCCTATGATCTTCTAGTATGTTAGACTCTCTAATTATGAGTCATTCATAAATGCAGAGAGTTTATCAGTCAGCCCAGCTATTACCATTGGTGGAAGGATAAAATCTTATGGCTGACCTTTCACCTACTTGGGTTACAGTATAATGTGGGCAATACAATGTTGCTTGAAAGCATTACTTCACTATAGTGCAATAGCTATTATAACTGTCAGACGCTGCGGCTATAAAAGTGGCAAACAAGGTAGCTGGTTGATATTGCTTACAGGAAGATACAGATAAGCTCTGAAAAGCCAAAAAAACCCATTTTGGTATAATCTTGCTAGTTATTAAATAGCTTTGATAATCTTGTTACATATAGAATGCTTTGCATAATGTAACTCTAAGCAGGGTGGATAAAAATCAATGATTTTTTTTACAGAAATCAAAGTTTGGATTTTTTTTTATTTAAATCATTTTTTTAATGGATTTTTAAAAAAATGCTTTTGGAGGAAAAATATTTATATTTAAGTTACATTATAGTCCAAAGGCTATTCATCAGGAAGTAAGGATTTGTTTAAGATTTTCATGTGTGCTAAAACTCAGTCTAAGTTGTTTTTTTTTTTTAAAAAAAAAAGTTTAACATCAGTTAACAAACATGGATACATATGCTATAATGTCATTATTTTAGTAAAATAAATTGTTTAAATTGTTATTAAGGAAATGATTATTTTTCTCCTTCCAATAAAGTACAGGAGAATAGTTGTCCAAATATAAACAGTTAACTTATTAAACCTCACAATAATTATTGGTCTATGTATTTCTAATAGTATAAATCAGTAATTTTTGATATAACTGTAAAAACTACTCTGAAAATTTATTATTCCAAAAATGAAACCCTTATCTGTAAATATGGTTGTAAATATTAAGTTTATACCAGCAAGAATGAGTCTTTCTGTAAAAAAAGTAAAAATGATTTAAATCATGATTTAAATCGATTTGATTTAAATTAAATCCACCCTGACTCTAAGGGTGCATTATAGAATGCAATATATAATTGCTTACCATCTTACTGAAGGAACAGTTCACTTCCTCTACATGGTTGTGCCCAAGGATATACAACCTTCTTAATAAAAGGTAAGGTTGTTAACACAGTTAGCTGGCAGCTCTCTTTGATCACAGATATACCTATTCATGATAAGAGGCAGCTGTGAGCTCACTATCTGCCTTCCAGATCATCGGAATCTGCTTAAACAGTTACAAGCACACACCTGTGATCATATGGAAGAATTTCATGAAAACCTAAAAGCTTTTTCTCAAGAGATTAAATTTAAGTAAAAATTAAAATGAGCATTTTCAGATAAATTCTGATTGAGCTATTTTCTGTACAATCTTTTTTTAATCCAAAGACAGGAATTGTTCTATGATGGCATATTTCTGTATGGATGACCTTGATAAACATACCACTTTTTCACCCCCTTTAGCCTTATGAATGAGGTGGTTCACACATCTCCCACTATAGGAAGCAATGTTGAAGAAATAGTAGTTAAAAACACCCATTTCCTCATGTGGGATATTGGAGGACAAGAGTCTTTAAGATCGTCCTGGAATACCTATTATTCAAATACAGAGGTATGTTGATGCTGTTCTTAATTTAGGCAACTTAAACGACCCAGGACTGTGCTGGCAAACGTGTGTGACAATTTTCTGAGGGTTCCATCCACCTTGGCCCACGAGGCTTAAAGCAAGATCTGAGAGAGAGGAAGGGAAGTAGCTGAGAAGCAGTAGAAAAGTTTTTTTGTATTAAGCCTCTGAAAGCCTTTTCAGACCACAGGAAGTGCTCCCCCTTCCTTGGCCCACCATAAGAATGAGCTCTTGATGTTGATCTCTGGTAAATATGAATGACAGGGGTTGAATTGGGAAGCATTCCTGACTCTTTCTAGTGTGTGTGTGGAAGCAACAAGGGTCCAGACACTGCTCTTGTTTTATTGAGCTCACTTTCCCTGCCCTGTACTGCCTCAGATAGCAGTAGGAAATTAAAGAATACTGTGTACAGGGGACTTCCCACTTACACAGGGGTTGTGTTTCAGGCCCCTGCCCCCATTAGCAAATTATGTGTAAGTAGGGAGCTTGAAAGTTTTTTTTGAGTGGCTGTGTTTCCCCTCCCCCTTTTGTTTGGAAGGGTAGGAGCCAAGCAAGAGCTATCTAAGGGGCAGCAGATACTCCCTTCCTCCCCTCTCCTCACCCTCAGTCTCACCAGTAAGGGCAGAGAAGCCCCACAGCTGAGCCCACTGCAGGGAACAGCTTCCTGCCCATCAGCTGTTGAGCGGGGTGGCGCAGCAGCAGAGAGGGCTCCTGCATGCCATTTTGGGTTCAGCGCTGGAGCCAGTAAGCTTTTTAAGACAGAAACCTCTTTTGCTATCCACTTTGGAAGCAGAAGATGTCCCCCCCCCCACCCACAGAAAAGTATCCACAAGCTCTGTGACCTCAGAGAGGCTGGAAAAGTCGTGCAAAGCGTCTTCCCTGCCTCTCAGGTGATGAGCGTGGTAGCGCAGCAACAGCAGGGGCCCCTGCATGCCTTTTTCAATCCACCGTTGTGGCCTTGCTCCTTCATGATCTAAAACAAAAATCCCTCTTCAGGCTCTAGGGAAGGTCTCCTCGCAAACCACGAGGACTCTCCGGCTCTCTCTCACCCTTTCCAGGTTTGAATCACATTTATTTCCCAGTGATCATGCGCAAGTTGAACACATGTGTGCCTGTATAGCCATTTTGTTTGTAACACAAATGTATCATTTCATTACCTTACTTAGAAACATGGTGGCTACTTTTAGCTTTTTGCCCACCTTTTCCTCTTTCTTTCCACAGTTTATTATCCTCGTAGTGGACAGCATTGATCGAGAGAGACTATCTATCATAAAAGAAGAACTATACAGAATGTTGGCACATGAGGTACGATATTCTATATCCTGTGTGTATTCTAAGAATACAGACAATGGTTGGGACACGAAGCATTGCCCAAAATATTACACAAGTTGAAATTGGCAGAGCCCCAAGTTTTGCTACATCCCATAAAGTGTGAGAGATTTCTTGCCCCTCAGGAGCAGTTTTTCAGGAAATAAAGGTGGCTGCAGTAGATGGGGGGGGGGTTGGCAGAGAAGGGGGGCGACTTCCCTTGTGCAAGCCTAGTGCCTTTTGCTTTCAAAGCAGCATATTTTGATCCAAGCTGTTCTTAAAAAAATTAGCCACAGAAATGAAGAGCATTAGTTAATCTCCACAATCCTACGCATGTTTACTAGGCTTTTGAGTTCAGTGAGACTTCTACCCAAAATTGGGTACAGGTTTGCATCCTAACTGGGGTTTTTTTAGAAGTCTAGTACTTGTCTCCATATACATCATAATGAATTCGGATTTGGTTGGCTTTAACCATATGTGTTGACACTGGTGATGAGAGTTGATGCTTTGGAAGGGGAAGTGTAGCAGGAACAAATGTACAATCTATGCTTATGCAGTTGGCAGAATTGCAACTAAAGCAACCTTAAATATAGTGAAAAATATCTATTTTTGCTTTTTTTTAAAAAAAAACACCCCAAGGATTACGTAGCTGTTAGGGCCATGGAAACATAAATTTTCTAAATACACGTCATTTACAGGATTTGCGGAAAGCTGCAGTTCTCATCTTTGCAAATAAGCAAGATATGAAAGGCTGTATGTCGGCAGCTGAAATTTCCAAGTACCTCACCCTTAGTTCCATAAAGGATCACCCATGGCACATTCAATCCTGTTGTGCGCTAACAGGAGAAGGGTAAGTAGTCATAGTGTTAAATAAATGCTTGTGTACAGAAACTGACAACTTGTTGGAAAGTATTCATGCTCAACAGGAAGCCATGGGTTAGCACAGGAATACCCACTGTGCTGCGCTCCAAAAGTGTGAAAGCTGGAATGAGCCCAAGCAAAACCTCAGGCTCATGTGCCCCTCCTCCTGATCTCCAAAAATCAGATGCACAGCTTCCACCCCTACACAAATAGAAGCATCTTCCACTTATGCAACCATCCCTTTGGATTAAATCCAATATTGGGGTGGATTCCCTACTACAATTCCCATGCAATATCACCTGCTTGCTGTGCTATAAACTTCAGTCCCTCACAGTATTCCCAGATAGCTTTCAGAAAGACCTTCCGTTACCAACGTGCATTTGAACACACAATTTGTCGTAATAATAGAAGTGTTTTTTCCCCCAGCAGCACGCTCACATTTATTTTATTCAAAATATTTTATTTTTAAAAAAATGTTTTGTAAGATGGTTTTAATACTTTGGTAACATTAAGTAGAGAAAAGCAAAATCTGTATGATTGGTGACACTTAGCATGGTGATTTTGCACCCTGTATGTTTATTATTAAGACTTGGGTTTTCTTCCCCTTTTTCAGATTGTGCCAAGGCCTGGAATGGATGACTTCCCGAATTGGAGTAAGATAACTTCTTTTCTGGAGTCAAAGTGACACTTGCCTATGGACAAACTCCTTTGCGGTACACTTGGCTGCTGAGGCAGCGACAAACTTAACTTAAAACTTCTGAAACCTCCACAAGCAACACTTGAATCAAGTGCAGCTGAACTTAAACTCAAAAGTATTTTTTAACATTTTTAAAATGCACTAATCTTGGATGGATGAACAAGTGGGACTATATGAAAGCTCTCCTATATAAGCTAAATGACTGCCCTGTAACAATTTGCCATTGAAAATGCTCCTTATTCTTGCTGCTTACAGTAATCGCCTCTAACATAGGTCGGTCTCCTTCCTTTCCTGTTTCTATGCTGCAACAATTAGCTTTAAGAATCCCAAGGTTATGGGTACTAAAGTCAACGTGATTCCAGTTGATCGGAGTTCAAATATTGATGCACACTACAGGAGTTCTCTAACATTGAAAGTTATTTATTTGCTGGTGTTGCCTTTTTGTTTATGTATTGCATTTTGTGACTTGGTGAACATACACCTTTTTTAAAAGAAAAAAACTTAAATTGACTGCTAAGTGTTTTATATATTCGGTTTACCTGAATTTTTTTGTTTATTTTTATTTTTGGTAAATCAGTGAATATGCTGCATGTTGGCAAGGAGGACAAATTGAGTGCATTGTGTTTTAGCAATGCTGGTTTGAATAGGGGAAAGTGTTCAAATAAGTGGAGGTATCTCCTCTAACAATATTGTCTCGTAACAGTATGTGAAAGCCAAACATTCAGCATTTGTATTTGTTATTTTCTGTATTACCCAGCCTTCATCCTTAGGTGCCAAGGAGCATTGCAACAGTTTTAAACAAGACATTAAAACGGCTCACAATCACAAAAATAGGATGGGTCCTACAAAGTATACATCTCAGGGTGTCAAAGGCAGATAAAGAGTTATGTCTTCTGCCCCAAAAACGTATAGTGAAGGAAGGAGGGAATTTCACAACTTGGGGTCTGCCACAGTGGGTGTGCTTCTGTAGGCTAAGGCTCCCCTGTATATCTTTGGGTGGTTGAAGTACGCCTCTGCCAATCTTAACATACAAGAGGATCAGTAGAGGAGGAGGTGGTCTTTCAGATATCTGGGCTGTTCAGGGCTTTAAACACCTAACATGAGCACCTTGAATTGGACCCGGAAACAAACTGGCAAACCAATGCAGCTGTTTTTAAGGTGCTGTGTGAAATCTAAATGGAACATCAGCCAGCAATCTGGCTGCTGCATTTTGGACCAGTTGTTTTCATGGGCAGCTGCACATAGAGGGCTTTGCAAGGATCCAGTCTGTAAGTCACTAGAACATGGAGTGCAGTGGCCAAGTCATTTCTGTGAAAAAGGGACTGTAGATGGCGAGCCCTTGCCACTGAGGCCTCCAGTAATGGGTCTGAATCCAGGAGCGCCCCCCCCCCCGACTGTGGACCTGCTCCTTCCAAACAAGTGCAATCCTTTGGAAAAGCCAAATTTTTCTGGGTATTCCTCTTGTCAGTGAAGTTCTACAATCGGATTCTGGATGATTGTGGCACATAAATCATTGATTTGAATTGTGTCTGTAAAGTATGCACACACCTTGAAATGTGAGGCCTAGCTACATTTCCGTTGGAGAGAATTAGAGCAAAAAGTACGCTTGAAAATAACTACTCTGTTGGCACAAATTGAACTAGTTTTTCTACAAAAAGCATTAACTAATGCATTAAAGTGGTTTGCTTTGTCGTCGTCCCCACACCAAGAAATCACTGTAAATTTTTCAGTAACAGTTTTCTGTGGTGTTTTTAAATACCATTTTGTCTGCCTTCTATAATGTCAATTGATTCCCCTCTCGGTTGTTTTCTGTCTTAAGGCAATGCTGGTAATGTATGTGATCTGACACTTAGCATTACGTGAAAGCTCTTGTGTTCAGTGCTTCCCTGAAATGCCAGACAACTTCAGAGGCTGCAGAACAGCTGCCCTTTGTGGCTTAACCTGTGTGTGGAGTGGGGTAGAAATACTGCATTGCAACTGGGGCTGAACTGAATTTCCATTGGGTCCATTTTCTCCCAGTGAAGGTGACATACTTTAGTGCGCACAATTTTTTCTCTCCAACCCCCAACCGCCCCCCGGGCAAATGGTGTTCTGTAAGAAACGAACACCTCACACTTTGGAATTGTGATCTCCCTCAGCAATTCAGTTTGACAGCAATTGTTATTTGCCTCTGTTGTTGCAATGTGTAAGGGGTGAACCCTCATGTCATTTTGCCTTCTTTCTGTTCAGCCGCAGCATGCCAAGCAACGGTACAGTCGCTTTCATCACTGGGCTTGTCAAAAAAACATGCAGAGAGATCTGGGCTTTTTTCTCTTAATGGTGTCAACTTCTTTGACTTGCACTGTCGAATATAGGCACATGTTCCTGTAAAATTAGATGTGCAATGTTATATTTGCTAAAGGCCACACACGGCAAGAGTTAGAGGTATAAGCTAAGCATCAAACCGAAGACCTTTGTTGGGATAAGATTAAGCTGCCTTATATGTGTGAAGCTCCTTGTTCCTGTAGCCCAGTATTGTTGACTCGGGTGGGGGTCTTTCTCATCACCTGCAACCTATTCCTTGTTTAAGCTGGAGATGCCTTGGGTTGAATTTAGGACCTTCTGCATGCAAAGCATGTATTCTGTTCAGCTATGGTTCCTCCCTGTGTACGTTTTCATATCTATTGAAATATATTTAGAACTTTTTTCTTAGCATCTTAACAAATACATTTCAAATGAAGTCTATTTCTGATCTTAGTCCCTGGTCATTAAAAAAATTATTCAGGGATGTTTGTGCTAAATTGGAAGAGATTTTTCTTTACTGGTACTATCTGTCTGTTGGGAATACCATGATTTTTCCAATTTGCCCTGCCTTCTTCATCTTGGCTTTGCTCAAGAGCTGCACAGGAACTGTGAATTTACCATTAGACAAGGAAGCATTCAGTGTTTAATCTGTACTTATGATGCCACAGTGTTTGAAAAACATGGCCCTTTTTGTCCAGGATAATGTTTTGTCATTTGATCACTCACATGGAAGTGTGGTTTATCAATCTTGTACACTTTTTTTATAACAAATGATCAGCATGGTATTGCATTGTAATTATTTTGTTGGGGTGAATTAAAGTGCTTGGCTGTGTAAAGCAAGACTTATGTTTTTTACACTTACAAATACTGCTAGCAGTGAATGCAATATTTACTCTGAAAAGGGAAAGAAAGGAAGTGGGGACTGATTTGCCAGTAAAAGAGCTCAGCTAGGGGGCATATGTACAGTAATTTTGCATGCATGTCAACTGGCTCTTTGGACTGGAACTGGTGCATCTATTTTTAACTTTGGTGTGTTGCAATTTGAATACTTCAACGGTGAAAAATTAGTTGCACCATTTGAATTGAAAAAAGAACACAGAACCAGCATTAAGGGGAAAAACATGATGAGGGAGAGTGGAGATGAGTGCTCTAGCTGCACCGCACTGCAGCTGCCCTCCATGAATTGAAGAGATAACTTCTAAGAACATAAACACCTTGCTGGACCAGGCCAAGTCTAGCATCCTGTTTGCACACTGGCTATATGAAGCCTGCAAGCAGGATATGAGTGCAATAGTGTTCTCATATGGGAATATGTCTGATCTTTTAAAGACTATCCAAGTTTGGTGATTGTCCCTAACTCTTGTGGGAGTGGATTCCATATAAACCTGCTCTATTCTGGTAGGGTCCCTGTGATTCCCACCCCCCATGATTATGCCTCCAACTTGTGAAGGGCAACTGCAGTGGTGGGTAGAAATAGCATACTAATCCTTACTCTTCGCCATCCCATGAGGGATTTAGAATGTCTGGCTAGGGCTGAAGTCCAGCAACAATGCCCTTGTGTGATAAAGAATTAGCCTACAGTGCTTAATTACCAAAGCTTCTCTTTAGAATACAAGCTTTTGTAGAAATGATGCTTAGCTTGTAAGCTGGACGATGTGACTTAGACCATTGGCCCACCTAACTCATTATTGTCTACACTGGCGGGTAATGGCTCTCCAGGGATTCAGATGAGGGCTGCAGGGATTCAGATGCTCTTCTGCATATCACTTTTTCGTTGATCACTTTTTCAAATTATGGAGTACATCAGAACTTGATCTAAGAATGTGTTTGAAAAAGGATCTTTTTCGTCTTTTCTTTTGAAAGAGTGTTCTGGTTTTATTTTACACTGTGTATGTCAGAAGATGTTTTCAGGAGCTAAAAGGTAAAGCTGAAGAGGTGCTATATCCAAAATGTGATGTACACAACTCTTAGTAGTCCAGAAAACTGAACAGATGTGGGACCTTAAACTAATCCTTTCCCTGCAGGGTGGATGAAGGACCCTCTAGCACTCACTTCTGCTTCAATTTATTTTGTAAAGTTTAAGGTTTAGAGTAGCTTTATCTGACACCCAAAAAATTAGTATAAACTCTTCCATTCCAGCAAGGCAGCATGAATTTGCCAGTTACTGCAATTGCTGGTTAACCAACTGCAACCTCAGGTACGTCTTTTTAGAAGGAAGTCCTACTGAGTTCAGTGACGCCCTCAGGTAAATGTTTGTGCGTTCACAGCCTTGGTCTTTACACTGGTAGTGAAATGACTGCCTGTGCTGCATTCCATAGGACAATGTACTATCTCAGAGACAATTCTACATATTCAAGCAACCTTTCCTCATGAGGTTAATGGAAGTGAGTTGGCAAGCCTTTGCTCACACCATGGATATCCTGCTGTAAGTCTACAGCTACTGCAGGGGGTTGGACTAGATGACCCTTGTGGACCCTTCCATTCTATGACTCTGGGTGGTGGACCAGGGTGGAAAAGTATTCATTCTGGTTTACCTCTGGGAAATAAAGGCCAACTGCTCCTGACCATGGCATCCACTCCTACCCTTCACCCTAGCCCATTTCTCCCAAAGCATTGATTGCAGTAGTATTATAGTTGCATCAGGCTTAATTTCTTATAAACTAAATATACCTAAATATTAAGGTTGCAAATTATCCTCTACACACTTAACCTGGGAGCGAATTTTGTTGAATGTAGTGTTGCTTAAAGGTAAAGGTAAAGGGACCCCTGACCATTAGGTCCAGTCGTGACCGACTCTGGGGTTGTGGCGCTCATCTCGTTTTATTGGCCAAGGGAGCCGGCGTACAGCTTCCGGGTCATGTGGCCAGCATGACTAAGCTGCTTCTGGCGAACCAGAGCAGCGCACAGAAACACTGTTTACCTTCCCGCTGGAGCGGTACCTATTTATCTACTTGCACTTTGACGTGCTTTCAAACTGCTAGGTTGGCAGCAGCTGGGACTGAGCAACGGGAGCTCACCCCGTTGCGGGGATTCGAACTGCCAATCTTCCAATTGGCAAGCCCTAAAGTTCAATCCCCAGCATCTCCATATGTAAGGATCAGGTAGCAGGTGATGGGAGAGACCTTTGTCCAAGGCCCTAAAGAGCTGCTAACTGTCAGAGTTAGACAGATAATCTTAACATTGCATAAAGCAGGTGCCTGCATTCGTGTTCTCTTATCAGTTTAATCTTAAATGTTGCTCTGAGTGAGCTAGCAGGTTCTTGCTTTTTGGCAGGAACATGAGTGAGATGAGGTTTCTTACAGGTCCCTAATCCTGTGATATTAATATGTTTCAGGATCACCACTCCTTGTTTTATAGCCCAGAGGTATGCTGAGGATTCCATCCAGTTCAGCAGCTTCTATGGAGAATGAATGCTGCATCTTGAGCTTAAATTGCCTTTTTGCCTGCTACTTCAGCTGTGACCTCGAGGTGGCACTAAAGGACTTAGCTATGAAATGCTGGAATTATACAGCACTAATTTAAAGGTGGTCAGAGGTGCAGGGTGGGAGTCATTCACCTTAAATTAAGAAAATGTCAGTGGGCAAGACTGTAATTTAAAGGGAGGAGAAGCCTAGATAGGAGTACCCACTAATTAATGCTCTGGATGTAACATAATGTATAGCTCTCTTTTTGAAATGGCTTATGTGCACACATGACATACAAGCAGGACCTGCCTACTTGTGGCAGTTGACTGCCAGATGTGTGCTCATGTTCTGTTTCGCCCAAACACAATTTGGCGAATGTGTTTTAGGTTCCTAACTCTCCGCACTCCTATGTACCACTTGAAAATTGCTCTGGGTCTTAGTGGACCACTTAATGATTTTTTAAAATATATTTTTGCCGTGTTGTAGCAATTGTAAAGCAGTACGCTAGATTTTTCATTTTTTCTTTTCTTTTTAACTTTTATTTCTTATGTTGTATTTTATTGTATTATAATAATTCTACGGAATAGAATAAAATGCAACACAACCAAATACAATATAAGAAAAGAAGAGATTGAAATACAATAACATACAGTGATACCTCAGGTTAAGTACTTAATTCGTTCTGGAGATCCGTACTCAACCTGAAACTGTTCTTAACCTGAAGCACCACTTTAGCAAATGGGGCCTCCTGCTGCCGCCATGCTGCCAGAGCACGATTTCTGTTCTCATCCTGAAGCAAAGTTCTTAACCTGAAGCACTATTTTTGGGTTAGCGGAGTCTGTAACCTGAAGCGTATGTAACCTGAGGTACCACTGTATTAATATGAATATTTAATGTGATGGACTTGCCATCGCCAATCCTTAACCACAAATCCATAGACATGCTGCAGACCACTAGTGGAAACCCCCAAAATAGAAAATAGCTGAAGATGGCACCATGCACACACACCGTTAACCTGTTTGTACTGCCTAGGATCTGCCAGATGTGGGGCAATTTCTGCTCCTTGCCCTGTGCAGCTAACAGCATTGGATGCATAAACAGACAGACAGATGGGGCTATCCAGGAAGCCCAACTTCTGCTGGTCCAAAACAGTTGGGGTGCAGTCTGAGACAGTGGCAGACGATGCTGCCATAGTACGAGAGGCAAGCTGAGCAACAACTGGGGCAAGCTGAGGTGGGGATGGGCCAGCTACAGAATCTGTGGTGGGGCACAGCAAACGCAGACACAAACATACACCTCAGTGCAGATGCTTCAAATAGACAGTTCATGAGAACAAGTAAGGTCTTCAACAAAATGTAACATGCAGCTCTCTTGTTCAGTATCCTACCCAACCATTCATGTCCTCTTCCTGGGATGGGAGAATACAGTGGTACCTCGCAAGACGAATGCCTCGCGAGACAAAAAACTCGCTAGACGAAAGGGTTTTTTGTTTTTTGAGTTGCTTCGCAAGACGATTTTCCCTATGGGCTTGCTTCGCAAGACGAAAACGTCTTGCAAGTTTGTTTCCTTTTTCTTAACACCGTTAATACAGTTGCGAGTTGACTTCAAGGAGCAACTCATAGAACGCGGTGTGGTAGCCTTTTTTGAGGTTTTTAAAGACTTTGGTGATTTTTGAAGCTTTTCCAAAACTTTCCCGACACCGTGCTTCACAAGACGAAAAAAATCGCAAGACGACAAAACTCGCGGAATGAATTAATTTCGTCTTGCGAGGCACCACTGTATGTGTCTATTTCAACTACACATACTTTGGCTTAGGGGTCCTGGGGACTTGACCAGGATGGCAGTGATCCAAAGGCTTCCCAGAGTAGGTATAAGATGTCTTATGTATTACTTGTCACAAGACCAGTGACTTCACACACCTGTGTGGCCTGAATGCTAGAGAAATGTATGAAACACATCACTTGAATAGGGAGGCAAAAGGCTGACATTTCTTACCAAATGCTAAGAAAAGAATGCCTAGAACAGCATCATTCTTGATGTGTGGTGGAACTAAACATAGGTTAATTATCTCCATAATTTCTGTTGCAATTTGTAGAACACATTTTCCTTTAGCTGTCTAGACATTGCATTAGTGCTATACATTACCATTCTGCAGGTGCCAAACACTGCTAATTTATCATTAAGCAATTCAGTATTTGTCAATAGTGTTTACAACTGCAGAATACTCAGCAAATTCAGTAGGTGGCATTCAGTGATTTATCCAAAAGAGGGATCTTCTATTGCCTTGAAAGGGAGGTACAAATATGACAAAAGGAAGCTTTCTGTATTGACTAAGTTTCTTTCCCCCTCCACATCCATTTCTACAGATAAGCCAAGCTGCAACCTTATGCACACTTACCAGGGAGTAAATCCCTTTGAACTCACTTCTGGGGGCGGGGACCTGTATAACTAAGCTGTGAGCATTTGTTCACTTTGGTCTGCAGGTGGACCCAGATCTCTGAGCTCAGGGGTTTAATTGGACTTATTTGTAGGAATGGAAAGTTTCCTTCTAAGTTGTGAGTTACCACATATCACCAGCTCAATTCAGTTTACATTTAAAGGCAAAACTAATTTGGCACTTTCTAAAGCAGTATACAAATTGAGATGTAGCCATCCTTCAGAATTCAAAGTTTCCCTTTTTCTCAAGCTAAGTAATGTGTACAAATATGCAAATACCAAGATAAAACTTTGCATCACAATTCACAGATAAATGAAAATAAATGTACAAAAAATGTTTTGTGTTAGGGGAAATATGACAAAATGTGCAAGCTAGGCAAAATTGCATGCAGAAATGTGTTTATTAGGAGAAAAGCGCACTAAAATGCTGGTGAATTTTCATGAGGACTTTTAAAAAAGAAATTGCAAGCTGGTGTGGAAATGTGGAGAACTGACCTTCAAATTGGAAAAATGAGAAACAGAAATTGAAATATGTACCTGCCCCTATACCAGTTTGTGCTGGTTTCATAAGAAGCACAAAAATGTACTCATACATATGAGTCCAAGAAGGAATCTGCTGCCCATTCTTTGCAGAATGGGCAAAAAACCCACCGTAATAGAGTGCAAAGAAAGAAAAGGAAAGAAGATGATCTTCCTTGCCAGCACTTAAAAGTGGAAAATTCAGCGTAAGCTGATTTGTAATTCATGTAATGACCTTTCATACACTGAAGTTGTATGACATTTTCTCTCAAAGCAGTTTTTATTCTCTGTGTATGTAGGCATGAGAAAGAAGGGGGGAGCTGGGGAAGAAAATGCAAGCTATCCCTTTGGATGAATAGGGGACACAATAGCTCACAAGTGTGATGCAGGATGTAAACAAGTCCCAAGAACTAGCCGGATGCGGGATACAGGAGCACGTTACAGCAGCTCTCATAGAGCTTATTTATAAAATGGCACGTGGGAAGACAACTTACCACAACTCTTTTGCAAGAATTGGTTCTCGGCCCATCATTATCTGATGACATCCTGGTTACATCACATTTAGATGCCCATGCTACTACTGTTTAGGGTAGTCTGCAGCAGCATGCAATCTTCTCCAAACCAATGCATGATGGCACCTTCATATGATTTCTGCAATACAAACCAGCCATGAGCAGCCTCATCTATGTGGGCCAGACAAGAGAGACTATGTGACACTAGGGAGGGTACTGTGTAATTCTGGGGCCAACGTTTCCAGGTGATGGGGGAAATATTCTGTCTGAGATGCTGGCAAGCAGCAGCCAGGCAGAGCTGACAATAAACTGACCTGGTATAAGGCACCTCCTCCTTCTTCTTTTCCATTTGCTTCTATGATTTTAAAACTCTCCATATGGAGCTTTCCCATAGAGCAGCGGTTCTCAACCTGTGGGTCCCCAGATGTTGTTAGACTACAACTCCCATCATCCCTGAGCTCTGGCCTTGCTAACTAGGGGTGATGGGAGTTGTAGTTCAACAACATCTGAGGACCCACAGGTTGAGAAAGGCTGCCACAGTGAAAGCTGCATGAAAGTAGCCACCCACTTGACCCATTGTTATGTATTTTTAGCCACCACTTCCCAGGGATTCACTTGGGACATGATATCCCTTTCTTTTCAATCCATAACATTCATATGGATTATGGACAGGAAGCAGTGACTGTCAGTGTGTCATGCTGAGCCAAGCATTACTTCCTCTACACCAGAGATGGGGAGCCTGTGACCCTCTAGATCTTGTTGGACTACAACTCCTATCATCCCCGCCCATCGGCCATGGTGGCTACAGCCAAAGGGCATTGGAGTACAACAGCAGCTGGAGGGTCACAAGTTCCCTATCCATACTCTATATCCTTGGGTGCATTCATGGAAATGTACCCTGGAGGCTGTTCTGGAGTGTCTTAACCAGGCTCTGCAGTAAGGCTAATGCTGAAGTGTGGCAACATCTGGACAAACTGGAGGATGGTGAAATTTGGGCGAGTTGGTGCTTTTTCTCTTTGCCTTTTCATCGCTTGCATTCCATATGTGACTGCTACCCAGCCTGACTTTCTATTTGTCTTTGTATCTCCTCCCTGATCCTGATCCTCCCTCACCCTGTCTCCTCAATGTTCTTCCAAATTAAATCAATTACCCTATGCTTTACAGGCAGCAGAACTGATCAGGGATTGAAAGCCCAGGACAAGAGGAGAAAAATGTAATCGAGAGCCATTGCTTCTAAGTGTGAGAGCAAAGTTCCTCTTCATCCTGGAGAAGAGTGACTAGTGGGGTGCCACAGGGTTCTGTCTTGGGCCCGGTCTTATTCAACATCTTTATCAACGACTTGGATGATGGACTCAAGGGCATCCTGATCAAATTTGCAGATGACACCAAACTGGGAGGGGTGGCTAACACCCCAGAGGACGGGATCACACTTCAAAATGACCTTGACAGATTAGAGAACTGGGCAAAAACAAACAAGATGAATTTTAACAGGGAGAAATGTAAAGTATTGCACTTGGGCAAAAAAAATGAGAGGCACAAATACAAGATGGGTGACACCTGGGCTTGAGAGCAGTACATGTGAAAAGGATCTAGGAGTCTTGGTTGACCACAAACTTGACATGAGCCAACAGTGTGATGCGGCAGCTAAAAAAGCCAATGCAATTCTGGGCTGCATCAATAGGAGTATAGCATCTAGATCAAGGGAAGTAATAGTGCCACTGTATTCTGCTCTGGTCAGACCTCACCTGGAGTACTGTGTCCAGTTCTGGGCACCACAGTTCAAGAAGGACACTGACAAACTGGAACGTGTCCAGAGGAGGGCAACCAAAATGGTCAAAGGCCTGGAAACGATGCCTTATGAGGAACGGCTAAGGGAGCTGGGCATGTTTAGCCTGGAGAAGAGGAGGTTAAGGGGTGATATGATAGCCATGTTCAAATATATAAAAGGATGTCAAATAGAGGAGGGAGAAAGGTTGTTTTCTGCTGCTCCAGAGAAGCGGACACGGAGCAATGGATCCAAACTACAAGAAAGAAGATTCCACCTAAACATTAGGAAGAACTTCCTGACAGTAAGAGCTGTTCGACAGTGGAATTTGCTGCCAAGGAGTGTGGTGGAGTCTCCTTCTTTGGAGGTCTTTAAGCAGAGGCTTGACAACCATATGTCAGGAGTGCTCTGATGGTGTTTCCTGCTTGGCAGGGGGTTGGACTCGATGGCCCTTGTGGTCTCTTTCAGCTCTATGAGTCTATGATTCTATGATTCTACTTAGAAAATATATATAGATCACGTACGCAGAAAAATCTCTAAGTGGTGCACATAAGAAAATTATCAAAAAAGATAAAAATCAGCAACACCTTTTTAAAAAAGAGAGTGTACATAAAATAATTACAGTGGTACCTCTGTTTACATACGCTTCAGGTTACATACGCTTCAGGTTACAGACTCCGCTAACCCAGAAATAGTGCTTCAGGTTAAGAACTTTGCTTCAGGATAAGAACAGAAATCGTGCTCCGGCAGCGCAGCAGCAGCAGGAGGCCCCATTAGCTAAAGTGGTGCTTCAGGTTAAGAACAGTTTCAGGTTAAGAACGGACCTCCGGAACGAATTAAGTACTTAACCCGAGGTACCACTGTAGCTGTAAAGCACAATATAAAACCAGCTAAAACTTCTGAAAGCAAATGTACATTACTAAATTATATGACTGGGAAGACTTGATGAAACAAAGTTTCCAGCAGGTGTTTAATATGGCAAAGACTGTGAATAGGCAGGGGCAATCTCTCAGGTAAACTGGTCCCAGGCTGTTAAAAGACTTGGAGGGGTTGTCTATAGTTTGGGGATTTCAATGAATAACTTCCTTTTTCAGCTTTACAAATGACAGCGGCAGTTCTAATCACGGATGGTAGTCTGTTCTCGGCTAGAAAACATATGTATAGAATTGTTCATTATCTGCAAAGCAAGAACAATATGCAAGAAAAACACAATATAAATGTAAATAAACATCCATAATTCATTCTTTCTTTTAATGGTGTGAAAACAATTCTCTATTGAAGTATTTTTAAATCTCTTCTGCAACACAAGCTTCTTCTGCCTCTTAGCAGGGAATTGCTTCCAAACGCCCACACACCTCCTCCAAACATTCAACCCCAAAAGTACAATAAAAGTACGATAAAAATGTTTTAGTCCTAGACATGTTGTGGTCCTACTGGAAGTTGCTTCTAAATTGCCACTTCTCTTTGCCATTTTTCTCTTGCTGTGGCTTCTCTTAAGGGAACACCTCAGAATAATTCTATCATAACATTTTTTTCCGCAGGGAAATTGCCACTCTTCAGTCGTTGCAAGACTAATGTTAGGAAAAGGGAAAATGTGGACCTGTGATATGGATGAAGAGCAGGCATCTACATTCCACTGGTTCCAGTGGAAAGTTGCATAGATTCAGGGGAAAACCTTTGACATGTTTTGTGTCAGTTACTCACATGCACCCTTTTCAGTGAAATGTTGTTGAAATAGCTCTGTCAATTAAGACAAATAAATGCATGTGATAATGAAATAATATTAGTACTGTAGTAGTAATAGTACCCACCCTTCACCAGCAGGTCCCTGGCTGGGTTACAATTTAAAATTCTGTATTAAAAACAAGTTGACCCTGAATGGGATGGGACTCACTGGCGCAAAATTCCACCACTTCTTCTTCTGTTTTTGTCTGCCCATGGCAGCCATTTTGTGCCGGCATCCACAGCACTTGTAGCAAGGTATGAGTACTGGCACCTCAATTTTTTTTTTTAACTAAAAGAAGAAGAAGAGATCACAGGATATATTTGTTAGTTAACTATATTTCCTCAAATTTTCCAGCACCTTTCTAAATTTGAAGCAAGACTTCAATTTGCATTTTGAAAAAGAATCAAGATACAGCTTTTGGGCTGTGTCCAGGCTTAGTCCTACCTGGAGTAGGTGCATTGAAATCAAGTTAAATCCAACCCAGTGGTTTCTTTTATTTTTATTTTTCCAGCAAGATGTAGCACGTGCTCTTTTTATTAGGGGGAAAACAGGCAGTTGTTATATATTCAGTTCTTGTGGTCTCTTCAGACAAACGCGGAATAGGGATGGAATGTATGAAACAGTAAGCCATCATAATTTATTGCTTCAGTAATGCCCTCTAACAGAAATGAGGGCTGCCTGATTAAAATCAATAAGCCCTACTGGACACAGTAGAGCAGGCATAGGAAAACTCAGCCCTCCAGATGTTTTGGGACTACAACTCCCATCATCCCTAGCTAACAGGACCAGTGGCCAGGGATGATGGGAATTGTAGTCTCAAAACATCTGGAGGGCTGAGTTTGCCTATGCCTGCAGTAGAGCTTACTACTGCATAAATATGCCAAGGAGTGCTCTGCAAGGCTTTAGTCCTATGCACTTGCATGGGAGTAAGCCCTATTGAACACAGTAGGATTTACTTCTGGGTAAACATGCAGAGGATTGCAACATAACCGAGCGCAACCTTGGCTTGGAGTTCCACATATTCACTGATGTTCCACATACTTTGCCAAATGTTTTCTCTTTCTTCTGCAGTAATTCCTCCCATTCCTTTTTGTTTTTTGCTTCCTTTCCTTGGACTTCAGGTAAAGAAGCATCTTGTACTGATACAAATTATATGTACTCTGATCCTTAATAATTGCTTTCCTTCTAATTCAATTGCTGCTGTGACCATTTCATCCAGACAGATAAAATGAACAGTAGCCATTGATTTTTGCAAAGCCTCCAGAAATGTTGCACTTATCATAATGATTAACCCAAATGTAAATTCCTCTGCCCCTCCTAGTAAGAAAATAAATCCTTTGAGTTTACTGTCAGTGTTCTCTAGACTCATTATTTTGTAAACTCTGTAATTCGTAGTGATCAGCATACTTCCTAATGGCTGTAAAATTAAGAGCCAATGTTACTACGACAGAGGCAAACCTGTTTAGTTTGACTCTGGTCTGCCTCAACCATGTAAACAGGAACTATGGAGCATGTCCACATTTCAGTCCAACCTTCCCTAACCTGGTGTCTTCCAGAGATTGTCAGACTACAACCTCCATCATCCCCAACCATTAGCCATGCAGATTGGGGATTATGGGAGCTGGAATAAAGTGATATTTACAGAACCCTAGAGGAGTGTTTTAAAAAGTGATTTATCCCCCACACCTGCAGTCCAAAGTGGTGCATCCTATTCTCTCATTTCAGAATTCCACCACTGTTTTCCCACCTCATTCTGCTGCATGTGAACTGTAGGACCAGGCCTTGGTCATTGTGGGTGTATCCATCTGGTGTTCCTTAACTGATGGAAGGTGTCCATCAGTTGAACAGGAAGAAAGGCCATTTTTGGTAACTGCTGCCCACCCCCACCCCCCGATACCCTTTAGAGGATCCCCCAAGATTTGGGAGAAGATTTCGATGCTGGGGGACTGCAAGAAGGAAAGACAATATCAGAAAATTGCCTCCCTTCTCATTTTGCTGACTGATGCCTTCCGCCAGCAGAGAAATACCAATTGAATATCTGGCATCCATTAACAACAACAACAACAATAAACTTTTATTTATATCCCGCCCTCCCCAGCCGAAGCCGGGCTCAGAGCGGCTAACAAGAGTAAAATAATACAACATTCTAAAATCATTTCATTATAAATATATTCCATTATTAAGGACAATAGGACATGTTGTTGTAATATTTCTACTTTTACCTCACCATTTTCTTCCCTCAACATGAGTCAGATTTCTTCTAGGATAATGGTTTCAAACTGGGTTCTGGAAAGCCCAGAAACATTTTCCTCAGAAGCTATTACCAGTGAGATGATTGGCAATGGCATATATGTTTTCTTGAAATACAATTTGCATCCTATTGCTGGTCTTCCCCTCCAGGAACAGGGAAAGCAGCAACATAGGAAACTGCCTTAGTCAGACTGTTGGTCCATCTAGCTCAGTATTACTGACACTGACTGGCAGTCTCTCTCCAGTGTTTCAGATAAGAGTCTTTCCCAATCCCTGGAGATGTTGGGGATAGAACCTAAAGTTCATCCTCACAGTGAGGCCCAACAGGCCCAGTCCCACACCCTGCATAAGCAGGAGTTTCATGACTGTCAGGCTTGTTGGTGTTCCTTAGAAGTGTTCCCTAAAGCTACAAAATCTGAAATACGAATGTTTTCTAATAGCCGTAAGTGAAGACATTAGAGGTCTACTGTAGGATACCTACAGTTAATGTTTCCAAGTAACCTTCTCTGTCTTTATTTTGTTGATGAGTAGTCTTCACTTTCAGAAAGAATGAACACTATTTCAGAGTGATGTGATAAGTGCAGCAGTTCTTGTTTCAATGAAGAAATCCACTCAGTTTCCTTTCTTTCTTTCTTTCTTTCTTTCTTTCTTTCTTTCTTTCTTTCTTTCTTTCTTCCTTCCTTCCTTCCTTCCTTCCTTCCTTCCTTCCTTCCTTCCTTCCTTCCTTTTTAAAAAAGGAATTGTAGTGAATTTGCAGTCTGAATAAGAAGTTAAGGCTGCAATAATTCTGCACACAGAGAGCACGGGAACTTCAGACAAAGCACTCCTAAATTAGGCTAATATATGTGTTTCGTTCCAAGGGAGCCAAGCAATAAAATCCTTGAAGCAACCATTACCATAAGGTAATTGACTGTATCTGCAAGTTAAACGTTCCAAGAAAGAGACAAAGTTATTTCCAACTGACAAGGTCAGTTATCACCTGTCTTCATCCCCACTGGTGAGTGTTACTGTAACTTTCAACTCAAAATAGCAAGCAAAACTTGGAAGGTTTTTCAAATTACCCTTTTTACATACTTCAAAATAAACAAATGTAACAAGCTTTTATAGCTATGCGATTAATTGCAGTCTTGAAGTCTGACCTTCATCTTCACACACCTGCTGGGGCATTGTATAGGGAGTTAACCAGCACTGAGGATCCAGTGTGGTGCAAGACCACTGAGACTGCGACCACTGATGACTTGAGATGGCGACTGGCAAGCACAGTCCCCCTGAACTAAGGCCAAGAGCTGTTTACCCTCCAGGACCCCTTAAAGGGATGTCCCCCTTATTATCTATATCCTGAAGCCTAGGTGGAATGGTGACATGTCCTCTTAAAATGGTGGTGTGTCCACCGGCCTGTCCCTCCCCAAGATCTCACTAGGCTTTGAAAGATGAAGAGTCCCTGAGATCTCGTGGGAGGGCCGCCCTCTCCCTCCAACCATGGTGTCCTTCGTGCAACCCTGCAAATCATTCAATGGTTTCAACAGGTTTGCTGGGCCACAATTTATTGTATACTCAAAGGTTTCTCCTGACCACTAAAGGGGCCTAATGATCTAAGAGAAGTAGATGTTACTATTTTTAAGTGCAGTTGAGTGCTGTAATGATCACTTACAAAGGCTGCTGCAATTCCTGACCCGTAACCCAGATGTTTTATTTTTTAATAAGTTCAATTAATTTTTCAATTATCTGGAACGAGCTAAAAGAAGAGAATGGAAGCGGGGGATGAGACACAAGCTGCTTTCAGGGAGATGGAGAAGACTGTCACTTTTTAATTAGCGAGGGCTTCCTGTGAGGCAAAGCTGCCTTGGAGACATTTTCTGAAGAGGCTGCCTTAGCCCTTGCACCAAGAAGATGTTGTCAGGACGATAATTATAACAAATATACAGACAGAACTCCTGAATGCTTTCAGACTAAAGAAGCATAATGAAACAGACGTGATAACTGAATGAACTCTCAGCTGACCCTCCTCACTCCTTCTAGCAGGTGACAAAGGCCTCTAGCAGTAAGACAAGGGGAATTAAAATAAGAAAAGCTTGTAATAATTATGGAGGCCAGCAGGGAAATGGCTAAGACCTTAATTTTCTATAACACTCTAAAAAGACAAGAAACAGCAAGGTGGAATTACTCAAGCAGCTTTATAAAGTACATTTATTTTGAAGTTTGCATAATGCCTGTTAAGGTGCGTTTCAGAATCCTTAAGATAACAATGTAGATAAAGTTGGGGGTGGGGGTTTAAGCAAAAAACAAAATGTTTTTGGGTTGTATCCATTAATGATTTGCATTAGTAGAAAGTGCTTCCATTTGTGCGAGGCGAGGCACCTGATTTTCACTGATTTCCCCCATCGTAGTGATGAATAGCATTATTAGTCTATGCCCTGGGGTGGTGGTGAAGGATCCAAACGTTCTGATGAAAGCTAGTGGACCCCTCGCTGTTAAATTCAGCAGGTGGGGATCTGAGAACTCTAGAAAGAGAACAGGTACATAGGTAGAGGTGGCTGCCACTGGGATTATCAATTCAAATCTAGCAAAAGGTTTTCATGATTATGTCCTTGAAATGAACCCATCAATCAACCATCATGACTAATGGGTCTCGCACATTCCAATGAGATTTAAGCATGACATGTTTTTTTCTGGATGAAGCCCATTTTGTGCCATGTTAAAGGTGGAACTGTAGCAATACAAAGCTGCCTTTCCCTGAGTCATACCCACTGGTCCTTCCATCTCATATTGTCTACAATGACTGGCAGCAGCTCTCCATAGTTTCAGACAGGGATTTTCTTCCAGCCTTACCTAGAGATGCCAGGGGATGAACCTGGGACCTTCTGAATGCAAAGGAGATGGTCTGCCACTGAGCCATGGCCCCTCCATTTAGCCCTGATGTCACTGGACTCCAATTCCCATCAGTCCAGGCCAGCATGGCCAGTGGCTAGGGATGCTGGGAGCTGAGGTACAACAACATTAGAGCCATAGAACTTGTGCTCACTGCAGCACAGCTCACCTATAAAACAAAGTTGAGATGTGGGGTAAGCTGCTATTTTGTGCCATGTCTCATTTGAGATTTTATCCTTAGTTCTGTAATGTTCTAAGGCAGTGTTTTTCAACCTTTTTTGGGCAAAGGCACACTTGTTTCATGAAAAAAATCACAAGGCACACCACCATTAGAAAATGTTAAAAAATTTAACTCTGTGCCTATATTGACTATATATAAAGTAATTCTCTTGAATAGGAATCAAATAAACACAAAGAAAGTATTTTATAATTACTTTATTATGAAATAGTAAGTAAACAGAAATATGAAAAATACTTTATTCAGTGCGCAACCTGGGCCTGTTTGGCTGAACACAAAGCTGATATTCTGGCTGGAATCAAAGAAAGACACACACATAGCTCTTCGTCAACAACTCTCAGTCTCTCTCTGTATTTAGTTTTTATAGCAATCATGCTTGAAAAGCTCATCTCACACAGATATGTAGTGGAAAATGGGAGCAATGTCAAAATAGCTTTGTTTGCCAGAGGGGGAACTCCTTGGCAGTATCCAACCAAAAACTGTCCAAAGGTAGATCAGCAAATCTTAGCTTGAAACCACGATTTTGTCTCAGTTCAGTTAGTTCCTCCTGCTCCTGTAAAGTCATGTCCTTTCCACCAACTGATGCTGAGCTATAAGGGTCCCTAACCCAGTCAAGGCATTCAGTGGAGACTGAAGAGAAATAAAATGACAACTTCTCCGGTCCTCCTGGTGACTCGAGTCTCGACGTCTTCTTCTCTCCGCTGCTGCGCACACTGTGCTCGGGCGGGAAGGAAGTCGGAAGATGATGTCCTACTGTGATAGGTCCAGGCTGGAGTCTGGACCAATCACAGCCCGGACATCAGAAAAATGGAGGGTGTCCCCCTGAGAAGCGCCAATCGGTGCCCCTGCTGGCCGAGGGTGGGGTCAAACCCCCCCCATACCCAGGACACAGTCCGGCGCCCGCCTAGTGGGCGAAAATTCGATTATTTTTTTAAAATCTTTCGAATCTAGTGTGCCGTGGAACAGTGGTTGAAAAACACTGTTCTAAGGAACGGTTGTTGCTGTCAAATGGAAGGGAAACAGCTATCAGTGGAACAGAGCTATAAAAGGATATTTCCTTTCTCTCCCCCTGGGCTGTTAAGTAAGTTGTTTGCAGCAAGAGAATATGCAATACCTCCATTTCTTTTGTTCTCTAGTTGGAATAAGCAGCTCGGCTGCCTCTTGAGGAATAAAAGTACCAAGAACTGATTTGCAATAGTGTTGGAATCTTTTTATTTTATTTACTTTTTAATGGCTGTGCTCATCAGCGGTTACTGAACTACCCAGGCAACAAGGCTGCAAATTTTCTGCTTCACTTTTTTTGCAAAAACAGGGGGAAGGATGCTTACCAAGGTTTTTAAACATTTACATAATAATGCAAATAATATTGCATTCAGTCAATGTTGGAAACCTTAGGATTTGGGTTTATCAGGTACAGTATTAAAAACAGCTTTTAAAACAGGTAGTTTTTTTTGTTTCAAATAGTATTTTTTTTTAAACCCTCTCTTGCTTTGGATCCCTGCATTACTGAGAGGATTGAATGAATTAAATTATTAAACACGAGGAGTCTTCCTTAAACTTTAATTTGACAATTGCAAATGTGGTATTTGTATTGGATACAGGGTTTTCTACTATCCAGGCTTGTAGTCTTGTGGATGCAGAGATGGGTTCAAAAACATTTAGTCGCAATGCATCAGTGACTAAGCTTCTAGCCAGCTACAATTGCTTATTTGGTGCTTTGCTCTGCTTTTTACTCTTTGTTTCTGGTCGCTTGCTGGGGTGGTGGTGGGAATTGTTTTCTCCTGGTGGACTTGCCTTTTTGTCCCTACTATCAAGATAAAGTGTCACCAGTCAGATTAAGTTTAGCATGACAAAAGCACTCCAGTTGTTGGGGAAGGGGTTTCTAAGCCAAACTGCCAAGGATCCCTCCATCCAGCCTACCTCTGGAAAAAAATCAAAGGAGCTGTAGATTTACTTTCCCAAAGCCTGAGAATTCAGGCTTTAAACAAAACTTGTGAAATTCCATTAGAACACAAGTAGTTGTTTAAGAACTATGCAGCATAGCATCTGGGGAATATTTTAAGGAAAAATTCCAGAACACTTTTTCAGAACAGTGAAATTTCAGTATATATGACATTTATTTGGGGGAAAGGAGGAAACAAATCACACAAACAGAATATAAAATCAAATCAAAGAGTCAATCTAACTCTCCTAGTAACAATTTAGCTACTTCTGTAGAGTCTTGGGTTTTAGAGAATGTGCAGAGTTCTTTGCAGAAAAGATGGCCTGAGAATACTAGCCTCTTGCAGAACTTCTGTGGTCACCTAAATTGTATGGTTCTGAAGGAGACAAAGGTGATGTGATGCCCTACACATTTATGGGAATCTGATGCCAGTAAAAGTGTTTTATGAATCAGTGGCATCCCTGGTCTACGTAGTTCAGGTACCTAGTACAGTATGTATTTAAATGATGAGCCTAACTTCTTAATGGTTTTGAACTTCCATCATAAAAGTTCAGACCAGTTAGACTACTGTGTGGGAGAGAGGGAGAGAGGAGAAGGAATTAAATTGGAAAGGGGGATTGGAGATAAAACCAAGGCTATTGGTTTATTCAGGTAGTGGTCAGCAGGCATCCTGAGTGTCTGAGGCTTTAGATGATACTGTTGATCTTCTGTGGAACATGTTATACCCTTCTTCATGGAAGCACAATCAATTATGCAAATAAATCAAAACAAAAATATGCTCAATAGTATGTCTAATTCAGATCACATAATTTATTAGTTTTCATTGGCACAAAATTTTGGGATACTTTGAATGCAGAATGTGGATTTTTCTTCTTGTTCAGGGATATTTTTCACAGTTCCAAGTACTATGAACATCTGAGTTGGAAGATCATTGTTGTTATGTATATTTGCCATCAGACTATTAAACAACACAACTTACTGTTCAGCTCAGTAGTGAAAGTCTTTGAAACTAATTATTACTGCAATTATGCTTGCAATCTTCCCCAGGCTGCAATCGCCTTTCCAGGTCTGAGTCAATTAATAAAATACCCTATACCACGAAACTTCTACTAATAAACGATAGTCACTTTTTTTTTACTGGCAATGAATTGGCTTTTAATTTTTATTCTGTTCCTTTATGAGGAAGTTAATATTTAATAATTCATGTTTCTGCTGCCTCTAAAAGATGGACAGATGTAGAAGCAGTGGTAGTCAATCTTCAGGTACTCCTGAAGTTTACTTATGTTTCAGAGAAGTGTCCAGCAGTTAAAATCCTCTTCCTATAGGTCAGGGGCACCAAGCCAGGTACACAATACTCTGAAACAAACCTTTTCATTACTAGGGATCCCAAGGTCCTGGGATGCAGGGACTTGAACCCCTTTCCATAGTGTCAGTGGCACAACCCACCTCTAAAACCCTGTTTAAGAGTAGCACACCCTAATACATTCATTTTTAGGGGGGAATCCTAAAGGATCAGAACAGAAGATAGGCCTTCCAGTGAAAAGCAGGTGGAACAACTGTCCTGTTTTTGTGATGACAGAAAATAGGCTCTATATTCTTCTCCTATGATTACGAAAAGACAGTCTTGATAGTAAAAGAATTAGCAATTAGATATTAACCCTTGTGAAGTAGAAGAAATGGGGCTTTATAGTAGGCACCATGTAACTTAAACTGCAGGTGGGAAACCTCCAGTCACCATGGCCAATAGCCATGGAAGATGGGAGTTGTAGTCCAACAACAATGCTGAAGAAGCACTACTTGTAAACTACTTTGTAGCCTAATTTGGCATTACGCAGCACTTACATTAATAAACAACAACATCTGGAGGGTTACAGTTTGATTTAACACATGGATGTGAAAATGCTAATAATATTAATATTTTTGGTATTTTACCTTGTTTCTAAGTTTTGGTGGTTTGTATAATTAAAGCATTTATAAGTCAATTACTGTTAGAGATATTTTTTAATAAATCTAAGCAGTGTGCAACTTAAAAAATAAAGAACACAATTAAAACAAAGTACACTGTAAAACCAATGACAAACCTGGACAGCATCTTAAAAAGCAGAGACATCACCTTGCCAACAAAGGTCCGTATAGTTCAAGCTATGGTTTTCCCAGTAGTGATGTATGGAAGTGAGAGCTGGACCATAAAGAAGGCTGATCGCCGAAGAATTGATGCTTTTGAATTATGGTGCTGGAGGAGACTCTTGAGAGTCCCATGGACTGCAAGAAGATCAAACCTATCCATTCTTAAGGAAATCAGCCCTGAGTGCTCATTGGAAGGCCAGATCATGAAGCTGAGGCTCCAATACTTTGGCCACCTCATGAGAAGAGAAGACTCCCTGGAAAAGACCCTGATGTTGGGAAAGATGGAGGGCACAAGGAGAAGGGGACGACAGAGGACGAGATGGTTGGATAGTGTTCTCGAAGCTACCAGCATGAGTTTGACCAAACTGTGGGAGGCAGTGGAAGACAGGAGTGCCTGGTGTGTTCTGGTCCATGGGGTCACGAAGAGTCGGAAATGACTAAACAACAACAACAATACTGTAAAACCAGTAAAATTCAGAGAATTTAGACAAATGAAGGTCCAAACAGGGGCAGGCAATATTTCAGGTAGAATTCAGGTAGCACGAAGTCATATTATTAATACTATAGCTTTGTATTTATTATTTGCTAAAATAATACTGTTTGCCAAAATAGTACTGTTATGTATTATGCATTCAGAAAACATGACACACAGTTGCTCTGGTGAGAGAAATCTTTGTGGACTGGCTTTTTCCTGCTGCCTCCATCAATGACTATGTCACTTTTTAACACGCTTTATGAAAATATACATTGATATAATAAGAAAGACACATTCAGTTATAGAAGAACTCCATCAATGTCATTTTTAATTGAGAGCGGTCAGAGCTGTCACAGGACTGTCACTTCTATAATGGACATGTTGAAACATGGAGGAATTACTAAGGCGATAGAGACAGAAGTCTATGAAACTGACTGAGTGCTGGGGAGGGGCTGCAGCTCAGCAGCAGATCATCTGCTTTGCATGCAGAAGGTTCCAGGTTCAGGTCCTGGCATCTCCTGGTAGGACTGGGAGAGGCCCTTGTCTGAAATCTTGCTCTGAGTTACATAGACCAGTAGTCTGGTTCTGTATAAGGCAGCTCTCCCTCTGACTTACGCACAAAAGGAGAATACAGGTGAACAAGCCTGGAACCATCAACAATTGTGAATTATGGCTGAAACAAGATGAATGAGCTGCCAATATGCTTTGAGACCAAATTTAAGGTTTACAGTTAGCAAGACAACTTGGGAGGAGGATATTCCCTATATACCTGTCGATAACTGTGGACACCTAGAAGGGCCCTTCTAGAGGGTGCCACATGTGCTGGAGGTTTGCTCCATGGTAGCTTGGACTAGACAGTAACACCTGCCCTGTGGAACGCACTACCTGTCGAAATTCATTGACAGGCTGCAGCGCTGTGTGCATTTCATCAGATACTAAAAACTTATTTGTTTTTCAGGCTTTCCTAGAAGGATGAGTCCTTACTTGTTTTATTTTGTTGCTGTATACCATGGGTAGGCAAACTAAGGCCCGGGGGCTGGATCTGGCCCAATCGCCTTCTAAATCCGGCCCGTGGACAGTCCGGGAATCAGCGTGTTTTTAAATGAGTAGAATGTGTCCTTTTATTTAAAATGCATCTCTGGGTTATTTGTGGGGCCTGCCTGGTGTTTTCACATGAGCAGAATGTGTGCTTTTATTTAAAGTGCATCTCTGGATTATTTGTGGGGCATAGGAATTCATTCATTTCCCCCCCAAAATATAGTCCGGCCCCCCACAAGGTCTGAGGGACAGTGGACCGGCCCCCTGCTGAAAAAGTTTGCTGACCCCTGCTGTTTACAGTATCACTGTTGGCATCCATCTGTTTCAGGAGACAATGGAGGAGTGCACCTTTGGGGGTAAAGTCAAACTGTTGGGCAGTTGCAGTGCCTGCTGTGGCTGTAGAGACCGATATGAGACAGAGACATGTTTTGTTCCAGCTGGAGCGGATGAAGGTGTCCAGTTGTGCTGCTGCAGATGCACCAAGGCATTTCTTCTCTCTGTGCTCTTCCCACTGTGGTACTACTGTGATGTTCATTGTGATTTAGAAATATTCCTAATATTAACAAACCACTACAATACTCTTAATTCAGGATTTCCCAAACTTGGGTCTCCAGTTGTTTTTGGACTACAATTCCCACCATCCCTGACCACTGGTCTTGCTAGCTAGGGATTGTGGGAGTTGCAGTCCAAAAGCAGCTGGAGACCCAAGTTTGGAAACCCTGCTCTAATTTAATTTCTGTTTTCCCATCCTGTTCTGCTCAAAAGTGAGCATTCTCTTCCTAAAGAAAATAACATTGCCAAATTCCTAACCATCAGGTAAACCAAACTTGTTTTCAGAACTGAATTTCTCCCTGCAATGCCTTTGGCCTTTAAAAAGGAAATTTATTTGCTACTGCCTGTAAAACTTTACTACTTTGTTGCAATGTTTAATTGCATTACTGTCGAACAGAGCCTCAGGAATGTGTACATCAAATCCCACTATTAAATCTGACATTCCTAATCTATAAAATATATACACACGGTTCCAGTTTGTCATTTATGATATCTTCTTTAGGCTACAAATCAAAACAAAGCATTTGTATGCACATATGGGAGAAATTGTAAGGTGTGGAGGGATGTCTTGGTGTCCATGGTGAATCACACAGCAAACGAGGGTTTTCATTTAAATGACTTTCATAGGACCTGTATGTTCCTACTGCCTGTATTCCAGAGAGTTACTGTATACCGTATTTTTCGCCCTATAGGACGCACCGGCCCATAGGACGCACCTAGATTGGAGGGGGGGAAAATAAAGGGGGGGGAATTATTTCCCCCCCCCCCAGGCACAGGGCTGGGGCAGGGAAGTCCGAGCTTCCCCCACCCCAGCCCCCAGAACAGGCAGCTCTCCGCAAGACGTTGGAGGCCAGCGCGAAGTCGCGCCGGGCTCCCACAGCTTGCGGAGAGCTGCGCGAAGCCCGCTCTGGGATCATACGGGGCTGGGGGAGGGGGAAGCCCAAGCTATCGCTCTGGGAGCTTGCGGGGCTGGGGAAGCCCAAGCTTCCCCCTCCCCCAGAATGGGTCCCAGAGCGATCCCGAAGCTGCGGGCAGCTTCGGCATCGCTCTGGGAGCTTGCGGGGTTGGGGGAGGGCTTCCCCTGTCCCCAGCCCCCAGAACAGGTCCCAGAGCGATCCTGAAGCTGCGGGCAGCTTCGCAATCGCTCTGGGAGCTTGTGGGGCTGGGGGTGGGGAGAAGCGGGCTCCAGCCTCCAAACCACGTTGAAGGGGGAAAAGTGTGTCCTATAGGGCGAAAAATACGGTATGTGCAAATGGCTCACACTAGGCAAGTGATATAAGCACATTAGCTCTTTCCTTTCTGATAGCTCCCCGCAGAGAAACACTGCTGGATATCATCCTACGTGTTGAATTGATATCATTTCTTTAGGGTCACTGACATTTCTTAAAGAGACTTCTATGCTCTGTGATAATTAAACCAAAATATATTGCCGTTATCTGTCTCAGTAGTAATGTGGGGGTTTCCCCCCCACCAAGGTGTAATGGGCTGATCAAATATTTAAGGAACTTAGCAATATTTCTTAAGTTTGTGACTACAAGCTTCAGAAAAGGCTTGTCTTCACAATCAAGCACCGTTTAGCTCTATTTTATATGCCTAAATAAGCATGAAATCCCATCCTCTTGTGCCCTACACAGGTCATGATTGAACTATGAAGTCTTCCTGTCAGGATCTAGAGTCCTGGTTTCATTTACAAGCCCACATACCTTAGAATAGAGGACCCAAGAACTCTTGATGTTGCAGAGGGTCATGCAGCTTACATCATCATCTTATCTACCCCTGAAATAGTGTCTGAAGCTAGTCTAAAGAGCTGCTATCCCAACCTGAATAACAGGCTAGATCTCAGCTAACAGCTTAATCCCAACCATGTCTACTCATAAGTAAGTCTCACTGAGTTCCATGAGACTACCAAGTAAATACATATAGGATTACTCTTAACTGGGACAAAGGGAGCTGGTGTACAGCTTTCGGGTCATGTGGCCAGCATGACTAAGCCGCTTCTGGCGAACCAGAGCAGCACACGGAAACGCCATATACCTTCCTGCTGGAGCGGTACCTATTTATCTACTTGCACTTTGACGTGCTTTCAAACTGCTAGGTTGGCAGGAGCAGGGACCGAGCAACGGGAGCTCACCATGTCATGGGGATTTGAACCGCCGACCTTCTGATCGGCAAGTCCTAGGCTCTGTGGTTTAACCCACAGTGCCACCCGCACCCCAGACATGGTTAGGATTAGACTGTTAGGGTTCAGTCCAGTGTCAACAGGTGCTTCAGACACCATCAGTATCTACAAATTAAAGCAGGCGTGAGTAACCTGTGGCCTTTCAGATGAATGCTGGACTCCATCTCCTGTCATCCCTGACTGCAAGCTGCGCTGGCTGGGACTGATGGGAGCTGGCATCTGATAACATCTGGAAGACAACAGATTCCACATCCCTGGCGTATGCTGGTCCTGCAGCATTTAGCTTAGTGACTTCATTGTGTTATAGCAATTTTTAAAGGTTTATATTCTTTGCCTCAGATAGCTGCATTTTAAAGTCAGGTCCATTTTTCTACCCCCACCCCCTCATTTGTCATACTAAATCTTCATACTGACAAAACTAGCCCAGACTTTGGTAATGGACATGTCAGTCTTCATCTCTCCAATGACTGCAGTTTTCTCTCACCTCCATGTTTTCCCATCATTGGCTCATCATGCCATCTGTCTTTCTCTCATGTATATTATCAGCCACAAAACCACTTGGCTCATTCTTCCTTTTCAAACAAACATTCTGAATTTAATTACTAAATGGAAGAGTTGGCAGATCAGTTACTTTCCTCATGGTAAGATGTTGTCCCTTAAAGCAAGAAAGAAGAACCGATCAAAGAATCACCGGTATCAGAGATGCGAAGGCAGTCGCATATAAGGATTGTATTTATGTTTTGAGATGCTAAAACAGTAGCATTCACTTTGTTGGGCACACAGTGGGCCCCATAGTCAACAGGAGATGTATGGTGCCACTCTAGTGTACATAGGTGGGCTTTCACTTTGGTGAATGTCCAACAACCTTAAGATGAATGCATGATGAAATTCTGACTTTCTTTTTTGTTACCAAGCTCAAAGAAGCATTTCCCTGAAAATCTGCCTTAAAACTGCACAGTGAACTCATGGTAAGATGCGATTTAGCAAAAAAAGTCTGGCAGAGAAGCTCACATATCAGAATAGTATCACTAAAATATCAATTGAAGTATTTTTTTGGGGAGGGAGGATACTTTTATTTCCTTTATTTTATGTCATAGTATTGGGGTGGGGCAGGGCTATGTGATCCTATAAAAAGACACAGAGTTTCTGATCAACTTCAGAAGTTCTGGCCAAATATAATCTGCCTGCAGGAAACATACCATGATAGGCCGACACACTTGCTGGCTCACAGATACTTTGGGGAGGATTTCTCAGCTCCTCAAGAAGTGTAATTATTGATGTGGCTGCAATTATTGATGCACCTTTCCTGTTCAGGGTCAAGAGAGATCTTGATGGGGATTATATATTCTTGAAGGGAAAATAGGGACCAAAATCCTTAACTATTGCTTCTATCTTAGGTCCAAACTCCCGCTAGTGGAGGTTTTTAGTGTGTATGGCTTTTCCTTTCAGAGAAATTAAAGGAGGGTGAAGTCTTGATTGGTGGTGATCCTGATATGTCACATTGTGAGGTTTGGGCAGGAAGGGTTGAGGAACCCCAACCCTAGCTGTCAACTTTTCCCTTTTCTTGCGAGGAATCCTATTCGGAATAAGGGAATTTCCCTTTAAAAAAGGGGAAAGTTGACAGCTATGACCCCAACTCTGTTCAGGGTGTGCAAATTTGCAAGTCTTTTAGTCTCCCATGGACACATGGCTGGAGATACATTTTGCTGACCTAGGTTTCATTTTCTGTTCCTCTCAATATGGGTCCCTCTGCATAATCAATTATGTCTCAATAGACTCTTCTCTCCATGACAGCTTGAAGGCGGGTGTAGGCCCCAGGAAGCTAGATAATAATTAACCTTCGGATTCTGGGCACTAAGCAGGAATCCCCTGTATGGTATCTTAACAAAACTCTTCTAGCATGTCAGGAATCAGTGCAGGTGTCAAGTGATGTGATACAACAATACTTTGCGTTTAATTGTAATTGCCATGTTGTATGGGCCTCTATGCAGTCCTGAAGGGAGTGGCCATAAATGAATCATCTAAACAATGCTGCTCCCCTGTTTTTACCTGCCCTCTCACCATATATCCAATTGTGATGGGACATGAATCAGGGGCTCTCATGCCAGTCTTAACACTCATATGAGAGATGGATCCTTGTTGTAGGTAGTTTGTGCAAGTGCACATGCTATTTCTGTGATAAAATATGAGCACAGATATACTGCGGCCATACCACTATAGTATGACTCAAACTTTACTTACATAAAATGGAGGTTTTTCTTTACTGTGTATATCTCATTAATTTTTAGTGCAACACATCTCTAAAATAAGGTCCGTATATCCATTTACAAAACAGACAAAACTGCTAGCATTTATAACTTTCTCTAGCTATTTTATGTTCTAACATTTTATCCATTATTACTCAACAAGCTTCTCACCAATTTGATAATTAAATGACCTGTTTGTGTTTTTTCTGCAGAAAAGCAATGGAACTATTCTGTTATTGAATCTGATAAGCTCTTTCTTCATATGATTAGAAATGCTAAGGGAGGATTTTTCATTTCCAGTTCGCAAAGGCAAACTTTTAAATAAATAAATAAATGCAGAGATAAATGAGGGAATCTGAGCTGTTTTAATGGCGTTTGACTCATAAAAGTGTCTAAGTGGTGTTTGAAATAAAAAAAATGAGTTATGCATTCATAAAAGATTTGTTCCCTGCTGAAAACTACTTGCATATTTGGAACGAGAATAGTAATAAGATTTCCTCTAATTAGAAAACTAATCATATTTCCCCCACCAATCTAAGCCCTGTTAACTCATGATACCAAAACCTTGTAAGATGATGTTCCATGATGGAAAAAACGGTGGGATAAAAATGAATTAAATAATTAAATAAGAAATAAACTTGAGTATACCTAAAATAGCTCCTGTGATCCCATCTGTTTGTTTTTTCAGAGAAGAGGGAGAGCAATTTCTGAAAAAAACAGATGGGATCCCAGGAACTATTTTACGTTCACTCAAGTTTGTTCATTTCTTATTTAATTCATTTTTATCCCACCATTTTTTCCATCATGGAGCGACATGCCAAAAACAAGCACACATGAGGTGAAGGTACCCGTGTTGTGTGCCACAATGGTCAAATTATCTCTGCCCAGTAAGGGGTGCAATGGATGTGCCAGCCAAAGCTGTTGATAAGTGTCTTTTACTACAGAGGCCACCTGAGTCTACATGGACAAAGATGGCTCCAAGAACCTCCCCCCCCCAACTGCTTATCTGTTTTTTTCAGAGGGAGTGCAACGCCATCTAGAACAGGCAGATCCCCCAATTCTTGAACCTGGGAACCACTTGCCCACAGTGTCTTAGCAAGATTCAGCTTTAGTTTATTGACCCATATCTACTCCATAAAGTGCAGTGGTTCAGCCTCTCCTGACTTAGATTTAATAGCAGAGTAGAGCTGAGAGTCAATAGTATACTGATGACACTGTGTCCCACACCTCCTGATGACTGTTCCCAATGGTTTTATGTAGATGTTAAATAGCATTTTGGACAAAATAGTGTCTCGAGTCATCTGGCAACTAAGCTACCAAGATGTAGGTGTGAGTCTCCGGTACCAGTCATGCGGGTAGGAGCAAAACCATCATAAAACTGTGCTTCCAACACCCAAGCCATGGCCCTGCCCATCCGTCAAAATGGACTGCATCTTCTCCGTGTCTTTTTGTTGTTTAGTCGTGTCCGACTCTTCATGACCCCATGGACCACAGCACGCCAGGCACTCCTGTCTTCCACTGCCTCCTGCAGTTTGGTCAGACATGCTGGTAGCTTTGAGAACACTGTCCAACCATCTCGTCCTCTGTCGTCCCCTTCTCCTTGTGCCCTCCATCTTTCCCAACATCAGGGTCTTTTCCAGGGAGTCTTCTCTCTCATGAGGTGGCCAAAGTATTGAAGCCTCAGCTTCAGGATCTGTCCTTCCAGTGAGCACTCAGGGCTGATTTCCTTAAGAATGGATAGGTTTGATCTTCTTGCAGTCCATGGGACTCTCAAGGGTCTCTCCCAGCACCATAATTCAAAAGCATCACTTCTTCAGTGATCAGCCTTCTTTATGGCCCAGCTCTCACTTCCAAGCCATGGCCCTGCCCATCCGTCAAAATGGACCACATCTTCTCCATGTCTTATATCTTTCAAATACTAGTCCATTCTAATTATACATCCTGAAGGTAGGTTTCACTGGGCTGCAAATCACAAGGACAAAGTGTCTCTTGAAGAGCTATGGAAAGAGTTGGGACTAATAAGGAAGCTGACGGGAAGAGGGAGAGGACCTTCTGCTGCCTGTGGTGAATGAACTATTTGGTATACGGGAGCTGCTTCAGGCTATGCAAGCCAAATAAGGTGAGGTAGTATAACTTGTTAGTTGGGCTTCAGCTCTTTGGCTCTGGGCAACTAACTATTCATATCCTATATAGAAAATGGAAAAATTACCGTACCTACCACTACAAGAATGTTTTGGAAGGATAAACAAGGTAAACTTTATTGCAGATTAACATATCCTTAGGGATTGCAATTATGGCAATAAATCTAAAAGAGCTCGTGAGGTAATATATGTTCATAATAAAGTATTTAGCTCCTATCCATAATCTCATGAGCAGAAGGGGGAAGAGAGGTTTGGTGAAGAAAACAACATAATTAACAACCCACTTAATGGCAGGCATTACTACCCCTCTCCAGAAGCATATGCGACAAAACCTGAAATGCTTAGAAAGCATTTTCAAAATAAATTTTATATACGTTGTGGCATGACTGCTAAACACCAATAAATATTAATGGTTGGTGTTTCTTTTTTGTGTGTTTTTTTGCAAGTGCAGTAAAACACTTTATTTACTGTAAGCAAATGAATGACAAGGGCCATGATTTAAGACAATGATCTGGATAAAATTTATTAAACAAGAGATTTGTGTGACTGGATTCTGAACTAGTTGTGTTTTAACTCAGAGGTGTGTTTTAACTCACTGACCCTGACTTCCTATTAGGTGTTCTTCATTCAGCAACCTTAAACACCTTTTGCATATGAACAAAACCCTGATCCTCAAGGATGTTTTCATGGCTAACAGAGAGGCTATACCACAACCAGCATACTGCAATCAAGATATGTTATGGTACTTTGTGATGGATTTCACAGCTGCCATGGCAAAGATCCAAAGACATAGCTGCAGTCACACATGAGGCTTAGGCTATTTTAGTTAAATTGTTGGCTTTTCTCCTTTTGAATGGCTGACCCCAAATGCCCGAAAGAGTAAGAAGTCTTAGTTGCAAAAGCAGATTGCTTTGTGGCATGTTGTGGTTTGAAAACAATAAGCCTAAGGTCTCACCGAACATAATAAACTGTAGTTTTGTGCATCTTTGGATTGTGGCTAATGTTACTGCGTTATATAATGTTGTTATAAGGATGTTGCGGCACCCTTTTTGCATGCAAGAGAGGCATTTCTGTTTATAAACTGCTTTCATTCTGTGTTCTTTTGTGATGCAGTTGACTTTAAGGAACACCCACCCACTTTTGTAGGAACACTCATGGAACATAATGACCATGTCTATTTACAGCTACACAGAACCCAGTAGACATTATAGATAATGTGTGTGTAAATGATTTGTTAGTGACTTTCACTTTGAATCATTGCAATTAGATGTTTGAGGGGGTTGTTTTATTAAAAACATTAATCCCAAGCAACAGCTTTCTTTTTACTGGGGGTTGGTAAGAACTCACTAGAAAGGTTCAATCAATCCAAACAAGGAGTAAGCAAAGCTGTTATGTCTCAAATTGTGTTTGTAGAAAAAAAGCACAGGAAGAAGGAGAAACAGCCTTACTCTATGAAATTCCCCAAACTATTTCATTAGTGCCTCTGCTTTAAATTGATAAAAAATTAATGCAGCTTGCAAAACTATCGTTTTTGGGGGAGAACATTAATGACACCAATGAGAAACAACTATATTTCTTCAGATGGTGTCATAAGATGGTGTGTCATAAGTCACTTTGATTTTTTAAATGGCTTATCTCACTAAGAACAGTAAAATTTCCTGGACAAAATGGCAAAAAGGTATGTTGACTTTTGTTCTCATGGCTGAATCCAGAATGAATCTTCCTTCAATGAAAATATCAATGAAATGAAGTCCAAGATTTTACAGATCCTCCAGACTTCAGTGCCATCCTATGCACCCTCAGCATCTTCAGAGAAGTGGTGGCAGGCCCATCTGCAGCAGAGTGTTTTCAACTTTTCATTTTTAATGTTTATAGATTACGTTCATTCTTAAAATAAACTGCAGCCATTTCACAAAATCAAGCCTCATCAAAGAATACATTTGCTCTGGCTCTAAATTTGGACTCTATCCAACACAGTAGAGCTGTGCCAGAATTTACTTGTAATAGTTAACATGTATTTTGGTGCATTGTGCTTCTTTTTTACTGATATGGGGTATAGGTTTCATAAAAGACGGCAACTGAAATAAATAATGTGGGGAAGTCTTTAAATTTTTTAAAACCTGAACCTGTGTTTTAAAAAATCCAGCATGCTTAATGTATTCACACCTAAAAGTGCTAAAAAGCATTGTGGAGATTGAGCTGAACCAGCAGGTGGGAGTATTCAGCCTAGAATTTGATGTACCGGTAGTTTGATACCCAATACTCTCATGCTCTAATGGTAGCATCAAAACCATAAGGCTTTTTGAACTCAGTGAATAGAATATGATCCATTTACCATTTTGAAAAAGGCAATGATCATGGAGATGAAGGCCTCCTCTGTTTATATTTAATATGCAGCTGGTCTGGTTTTGCATATTAGGCAGTATTGGCTTCAGGCAGGTTCAACTCCTTAATTCCTGTTGTCAGAATCTGTTCGATCTGAGTAAGGTTGTAATCCTGCCAACACTTACAAGGTGGTGCATCTTGCTGAACTCTGTGGAATTTATTCAGAACTCAAAGTAAACTATTCAGAATATGTATAGAACAAGCTGCAATCATATGTACAATTTCCTTGGGGCAAGCATCACTGAGCACAGCAGTACTTATTTTTGTGTAAATATATACAGGTTATTGCTGTTACTTTTAACAGAAGGGATGCTTTGACGTGTGTCGTGTGCAGATCCTTAGCATGCTATAAACAAACAAACACAATATATCTGTACAAACAGGCACAATTAATAAGTGTAATAGTTCTGTGTCTGTCTTCATTGAATGAGGAAGTGTAGAATAAAGATTGGGTTGTCTCATCCTGTCCCATCACATTCTTCTACAAGCCAACATGTATGTTCTGTTCTGCTCATTATGCTGGTGATTATAGAGTAAGTTGGCCAGGTACAAATTACGACAAGGGTCCTATGTCTTTTTAGGACAGGAAAGTTCAGCAGGTGTAGATGACATTCCTTCCTCTTTATAGCTATTAAAGGTGCAGGAGTCCTGTTTATTTTTGCATCTGGCCATCCTGATGCAAAGTTATGAGGAAGACCTACTGGTCTGTTTATCTGTCTGGAATATTAAAAGGAAAAGATAAGGGAAAGTTGACTGAACTGTGGACAACTGCAGGAAGTAAGAGGTAAATGCCTAGTTGAGTAAAAAAAGCCACAGCAATGACAGCCTTAGAGGAAATTGTACATGATGAGGCCATATATGAAATGGTGACGATGCTATGAATTCATACTGCCCGCCACAGAAATATCACTGCAAATTTGCAACAGATTACTAGGAAGCCTTTTTTTAGCTTTACAAATGTAGTTCCTATGGGCATTTACTGGCCACATGAACTAGACGAAACCATGAAATGAAAGAGTGAGACAAATGAAGCATCAGTGTACAAATTCCAATTGGTCAGGCCATGTGCTGTCAAGCAGCATTTGACATGAAATGAATCAAGGCAGGTGAGACAAAAGAGATCAAAGGGTAGTTCTCTGGGGGACCAAATGTGAAACATGTGCTTCATTCCATTGTGCAAATGCAGCACAAATAAACTTCATGATGAGACGCTGTACAGATAGATCAGCAAGGAGAGACTGTGTTTATTTTATAATGTGTGGCATTATACATTTATCACTAAATGTTTGTTTTTGAAATGGTGAAAAGAGGACCTTAGTCAAGGATTAAGAACATATGAATGTGGGGGGATGCTCCCCTAAAACCCAAGAAATGAATGAATGTCAGAATCTAGATAATATTTGGGATATTGAAGGAAAAATACAAGCTGCACAGGGATTTCTGGGCTAGCTTATGCAAACCAGCTGGCTAGTTACAGGTAAGTGCAGAGCCATTAAGAAACAACTCATTAAGGGTGTACTGGGAAGAGGGAGGAAAACAAAGGCCAGACCTCCATGAGTTGCTGGCAGAAGAAAACTGCACTAAGAGACCGGGAACCATAACTGACTGCTGCTTCAGACACAAGCTTGCTGAATCTATGAAAGATGCTCTTGGGATATAATGTTCTGCGCCTCCTCCATTGCAGACTTCCAGGTGTAAATATGGGTTAAAAATATTCCTTAAAGACAGTAGCCTCCACTGTGCCTTAATCCTCCCAATGGAAACACAATCCTGGGTGAGCACCTGGGACCCCTGGAATCTCACACCCTTTGGGGTGGTGTGTAACAATATATTCATGGATTTCACTGGGTTAGAATAACGCTCCAAAATAGCCCAACACATCTGGATTAAAGACATGATAGAACCTCTGGAAAGAACTTAAACGTCCAGTGTGCATGTCCAAGTATACTCAGTTTCCCCTTGCCTCTGTATCAGGAAACCCAAGAAGACATGATCACTTCCTCCAAAGGTTCCCAGCTGCTTCCACTTCAATGTTCAATTCCTTCCTGTTGGTGAGGACTAGATTCTTCAGTGTTTGCTGCCAAACATTCAGTCAGCTTTTCTTGCTGAGACTTAAGTGCTTAATTTTACTACTAGAAGCTGAAATCTTGCCTGCAGCTGTATTTTTGGTTCATGAGTAATGCAATGCTTGTGTGAGCACCCCCATCCTGCCCTGCCTTCAAGTTGATTTAAGATTTTAAAAAGGCCTTGCAAGGATCGTGCATACTCTCCAGGACAGTCTGCCTAAGGAAAATAGAATGTCGACCTAGTCTGCTTGCTGTTCCCTTAGGTATATCCTGCCAGCTTCCATATAACATTTTTCTCAAGTAGAACCTGCTCCTAGCAAAGCAACATTTTAAAAACTGCTTTCCACCCACTAAAACTGCTCTAGGGCTTGTTGACATACTTCCCTGTGATAAGATCAAGAACACAAGGCTTGCTGGGGATTTTATATGTACTTCTATACCCTTAAGAACGACTTGTAGATGCTAGTGAATATGTAAATGAGCCAAGGCTGCGAGTAAGTTATTTATTATGGATTTATATGCATTGTGCAATTGGCAGCTACATTTTATTGCAGCAGGAAACAAATCTCTCAGTCTCCTGCTGTTTGAAGGTTTGGGAAGATTTATTAAAAGTTTAAAGGGGGATTTTTGAATTGGATAGAACATATCAAACTAGTGTTAGACAAAACAAAAAAAGTCCTCAAATATAACAAAAAAAATGACTTACTGGCTTTGAATATTTGCATTTTGTATTCTATGTACATATATCCACACATGGTTCACATGTGCAGCTGTTCTAATAACGCTGTTAAGGGAGGGGAGGTTAGGCTGAATGCTTGGGCCTTCCACTAATCATTGGAATAGCCAAGCTAGCTTTCTGGGTGACAAGCCATTAAGGGAAACTAAGGAAGGGGCTCAGTGCAAGATGGCAAATGGGTGGGGGGGCTCCTCCCTCAATTCACAGGTAGTTAAAAAGACAAAGGCAGAGTTGAGAGTGGAGAGTGAGTCATGTGAACTAGAAGCTGGAAGCAACAGACTGGGAAGCCAGAGTGATGCTTGATTTCTGTTTGTATCCAAGGCTGTGGAGGAAGCAAGGCCCACTTGGGGTATTAATGCTATGAACCCCTCCATCATAGGTTCAGGTTGTAAATATGTGTGTAAATAAACCATATATCACAAAGGAAACACAAACCCTGGGTAAACATCTGAAAGCTGGGAATCTCGCGCCGCTTGGAGATTGTGATGGCATTCAACAATACATATTCTTGAGATCATTTATTTTCCCCGAGGGCTCTATGACTTTGCCATCTGTTACTCAAGCTACCGATCAGCCTGAACTTCATGACTGTTGACTTGCTGCAGTGGCAGCATTTGTTCTGGGCACTGGCATGGGGGAGATGGAGAGAGCTTCTAGACTATTGCTGGAGTAGCAGTTGTTGCCGGAGCAGTGGCCCATGTGGTAGCAGTAGTAAAGGAGTTGGATCTCATTGTGGGGTTGGAATTGCAAGTGTGTGTATGTTAGCATCTGCCTATGTCGGTCATAATTCCAAGCTGAGTCCAGGAAACTTCATGCAGCTCCCATCAGTCCCAGTCATCATGGACAATGGCAAGCTAGGAGATCCTTTTACTCTCCAGATGTTGCTGAAGCATAGTCACCATCCCTGGCCATTGGCCATGCTTGCTGGTGCTCATGGGAGTTGTAGCTTAATAACATCTGGAGGGCCAAAAGTTCCCCATCCCAGGCACAGCCAATTGAAACTGGATTATGGAGAAGATCACGTCCACCCAAAGAGGAAAGAGAGCTGCTACACCAGCCAAGAGCCAGGTATACTCCACTCACCTTTGTACTGATGAAGAGAGTGGTAGAAACCCAGGAAATGCCTATTGACTACCATTTGCTGCTGACTAATATAACAGATCTGGAAAATCATGAAAAGAGAAGCATTTCCCCTTGATATTGCTAGCAAAATGCCATGGTGAATGGTACTGAATATGAAATAAACTATTTCAATTGTGTGGAATGACTGCTACCATAATACTCCATTATGCCTCCTGACACAAAAGACTTCATCCTTCTAAGGCTTCAAAACACATTAACCTCATTTTTGTGGGGGGTGCAGGGTGCAAAGCCACTCTGATAGTCATTTTAATCAAGTGGAAGCTAAGCATAGGGGCCCACTCAAGCAGCAACTGAAATAATTCTGATTTCAAGGGAAAGCATTGATCTGTATCACTGCATTCACTCAGCAAAGCAGCAATATTAAAATGGCTGAAAAAAAGGGCACACTTTAATCAAAGTGATTTTCTTTTGACAGTCAAAAATATATTGTATTGCCTTAAGCAATATCTCTGACAAAATGTTTTCCTTTTAGATAAGATTTGATGTATGAGGAATAAAGAGCATCTTGGGGTTCTTTTGTTTTATTAACGGGAAAGAAAGTGTACAATTTTTTAGAGAAAAAACATTTGGAGCCTTTCAAGGAACCTCACATTTTAGGTTAGCATAAAATATATGCAGTTAAAATCTGAACCACATCACCAGTAGGTTTTAAATGGTCTATAGATCAACCCAAGTCAGTGTCAATGACTAGTCCATTGAGTCTAGACATTGTCTTTGTCTCCATTGTAATGGTGATAAGTGTTGTTCAAGGAATGGAGGAAACCACACTGACATTTTTATTACCCCCTGCATGCTTAGGGAGTGAGTTGGTTGCTTAGAGATTAATCTTGGGAACTGCAAATAAAGCCAGATGGCATTATTCTAATCTAGAATGATATTGACAGAGGTCAATACTAGCCTTCATTTGGGCGCCCTTCACTCTGTAAAATACTTGATTCTTAATTACCTTGGTTGAATGCATATAGTAGATGCATATAGATGGTGAGGGTGGACAATTCTATAGCACAAAGCTTATTTCTCACCATCCTACTTGGCTGCTGCTTATATTGTACCTCCACGGTTGGAGGCAGTAGGTCTCTGAGCACCACTTGGCTCAGTGGGGAAAGTTCTGTTGCATTGTGGGCTTCCCTGCCTGTGGGCTTCCCACAGACACCTGTCAGGACACTGTGAGAGCAGGATTTTGGTAACTTCATTTTACCTCTTGCTATGTGGTCACATATCAGACATCAGAAACATTCTCATACCTTCAAACCAAACATATAAATACTGGCAGATGCTATTTTAATATCGAGTTTTCCCAGAGCTTTGAAAGCATATTGGTTCCCTCCCACCCACCTACCCAACAAAAACCTTTCTGGGCCGGTAATAAAATGCTGATTAGGAAGTAACAGATGACCATCATCCATGGCACACTGAAAACACAAATGCATTTGTAAAGCGAAGTGTTCCATAAAGCTGATTCCCCCCCCCCCGCCCTTTTAAGTGTCTATAAAAATGTTACGTTCTTATTCAGCATGTCTTCTTTAGCTCTGCAGCATTAAGTTAGAGAAGACTAGAGGCAAAAACAAACCCAATTTTCTATGGGCAGAAGAAACTGGGGAATGTACTTTTATTTTAGTACTGGTAATAACCCATACAATACAAATTATGTAGCTTGACATTAAATCCCATGTTAAGTACACAATAGGGAGGTGTTAGGAGCAGAAGATGAGTTTTGTGCATGTATGGGTTCAGGATTTTTCTGAATATGATGCATACCTCTACCTAATACTACAAAATATTTACACACTATTCAAATGCAGAAACTTTCATCTGCAGGAAAACAGCCCTGGGCTTCCCACAGCAGAGAATTCAGACGCCTGGGCACAATTGCTGAGAAGGCCCTCATAGTTTCTGCTTGGCAATCTGCTCCACTTTAAGGGAGCAGAAAGGCATGGAGTGGGGCCTTAGATTAATATGTGAGTCATTAAGCAGGGTGATATTGGACAAGGCAGTTCGTCAGGTATCCTGGGCCTAGTGTTCCTCACTATATGACTGCAGCTTCCAATGATGCCTTGTCTATAGCCCTATTCAGTCATTTGTCTTCTGGAATAGCTAAACATATGAGCAGGAAGCGCAGCAATGAGTGAGAAAGCTCCACCCACTCTCCACCACTGTCTGCATTGCCCTCCACAAGTTGGAGAGTGATAATCTGCAGGGTTCTGCATCAAGCAAGGAGGCTAAATGACTGGGTTTGTGTGAATTACAGACGAATCACAGATAAAAAGCCAGAGAATTAACATTTGTATTCTAGAACTCACAGTGCTTTTCAACTGAGTCTCTTCATATGTTTTGTCAATAAGTGTAGTGAAATCCAATTATGTATATTTATGTGTGGTCCATTTTAAGAGATCAGCAAATGTTCTTGCGTACTAACTGGGCTGTAGCAATAACGGGATATCTTCTATGTCTGTCTGTCACTTGGATTCATAGGTTAGAATCCTATCCTTATTGATGGCTTTTACAAAGACTTTGAGCCAATTCTCATCAGTTCATCTACAACCCAGCTCGCCAGCTCCATTCTTGACAGCTGCCTTAGGTACATTACTTAATTTCCTCACCCCTTTTCTCATGCTGTCTTTGATATGATGAAAAACATACTTTTGTAACATCATATTTTGATATACATCAGGATGGTGTAGCAAGTTTCTACTAATACAGGTGACCAGATGCAATGAAGTAAGGCAACCCTTAGGACACTTCTGCCTGCAGGCTAAAATTTGGCAAAACTTTTTTAAAAAAAGACTAAGTTGTGTTTGACAGTAGAATACTACTACAAGAAGATCAAGCTCTAGAAGAGTCTGCTAAAAAGGAAAGTTGGAATTAATGGAGTCTAAAATTGATTTAGTAAACTAGCTCTTTGATGGAGTGGAAACTAGAACTGCAGAAAGAAAGATACAGCTAATTGAAGAACATAATTTAATTCTTGAAGCAGAGTGTGAAGCTCACCGAGGGGTAGATTGCAGCTTTAATTGAAGAAGGATTTGTATGTTTGTATGTATGTGTATTCCAGATCCTTTTAATGTGCTGTTTGTCCAATGATATGAAGAAAACTATTACTTTCAACAGTGATATTCAAACACGACTATGCCATGAAGACAAATGGTGCCCCCCCCTCAACTCACTGGTAGTTAGAAAGACAAAGGCAAAGTTAAGAGTTGAGCTATGGTGAGCTGGAAGCTGGAAAAGCTGCAGGCTGGGAAGACAGAGAGAGAGAGAGTCATGCCTGGTATCTGCTTGAATCCAAGGCTGCAGATAGCTGCAGAAGCAAGAACCTTTTCGTGCCCCTCCATCATAGGCACAGGTTGTACATATGTATAAATAAACTATAAATCATAAAGACACCACAGTCTCCATTGTGCCTCATTCCAAAGGAAACATGAACTCTGGGTAAGAGCCTAGAATGCCTGGAATCTCACATCGCTCAGAGATCAAGGTGCTGTGCAACAGTTTGTTCAGTTCATCCCTTTCTATATTAGCAGCAGGGCTGGCCTGAGACATTTTGGCACCTGAGGTCAATCGCAAAAGCACCCCCCTGAACCAGGGAATAAGGGGTGAGTGAAGATCTACAACAGGAACAAGGGGGAAAATAAAGATCTATATCAGAATCTGCTGTCCCTGTGGATCCTGTTGCCCCAACCTTCCTTGTGGGTGGACCGGCTCTGGTAAGTAGCATCCGTACATGCACACAGAGGGTCAAATGCAGCTGTTATTGTTTATTAGATTTCTTACTGAAACTAGTCACCATGAGGTCCTAATGCTGCTTACAACAGCAAAAACAGTGCAAATAAAATACCGCATTTTTTGCTCTATAAGACTCACTTTTTCCCTCCTAAAAAGTAAGGGGGAAAGTGTGTGCGTCTTATGGAGCGAATGCAGGCTGCGCAGCTATCACAGAAGCCAGAACAGCAAGAGGGATTGCTGCTTTCACTGCGCAGCGATCCCTCTTGCTGTTCTGGCTTCTGAGATTCAGAATATTTTTTTTCTTGTTTTCCTTCTCCAAAAACTAGGTGCGTCTTGTGGTCTGGTGCGTCTTATAGAGCGAAAAATACGTTAAGTACAAATAAGACCAACCTAACATGCCCAACAACCAGCAGTTTAGACCCCATGCTATACTATCCTTTGCTTCTCTATACAGTGGTACCTCGGGTTAAGCACTTAATTCGTTTCGGAGGTCCGTTCTTAACCTGAAACTGTTCTTAACCTGAAGCACCACTTTAGCTAATGGGGCCTCCTGCTGCCGCCGCGCCGCCAGAGCATGATTTCTGTTCTTATCCTGAAGCGAAGTTCTTAACCTGAAGCACTATATATGAAGCACTATATATGAAGCACTATATAAGTCTGTAACCTGAAGCGTATGTAACCCGAGGTACCACTGTATAACTGGTTAAGAGGAGCTCTTCTGTTTAAGTGAATGCAAGGGTAGCATCCAAAACAGCAGCATTTCCGAAACAGACAATCAGGCAATTAAGCATCTCTCAGGAAGTTAGTTACCATGGAGAGCAAAATACTGTCACCGCCAACTGCGTTCTCTGAACCTACCTGCTAGAAGCTAATCAGAATGAAGCAGAAAGCCATGTTAATTAGAAAACAAATTATCTAAACCCTGCCAATCAAGTCAGATGTAATGAAAACTGCAGTACATTTGCGGAAGTGTAACACTCAGAAAGTTAAATGGACTCTACAATGTACTTAAGCATCCAGACCACATAATTTTACCTGCACAGATATGTAACCATTTCCAAAAGGGGTAGCGACAGAGTGTCTTGCAGCAAAAGTGACTGGTGGCACCTGAAAGACAAACAAATTTATTATGACGTATGCTTTTGTGGGCTACAGTCTACTTCCCACAAACAATCTATTAGAGGAGAGAAAAATGACAGAACACTACTTGTTGTCAATTACAAGTCAAAATTAGATTATTTGTTTATTACTTACTTACTTACTTACTTACTTACTTATAACCTGCCCATCTGGCCAGGCCTCCCCAGCCATTCTGGGTGGCTCCCAACAGAATATTAAAAACACACAAAAAATAAAACATTAAAAACTTCCCTAAACACTGTATTCCCTAAATCACTATATGTTCAGTTTTCTACAGCCCATCCCAGACAATGATATTTCCCTCTTCCAAGCCTTGGATAGAAGGCCTGTAGTTGCTTACAAAGAGCATTCACACAACCTAAGACAAAGCTAGAATTTCCAAACTCTTCCTCTCATTGGCTCTAGCTCCACCTACTGCTAGGCTTCCTGCCTTCCACCCCATCATTCCCAATGGACACCAGCCACCACTGCTTAAAACAGCTACTCAGCAACAATGACAAGGATATCTACACAGGGAGCAGACCCTGGGGCAGACTGATGCCACCAACTCCATCCACAGCAGTATTACAGGACCCGGTAATGTCATCCACCCCACCAGTGGTTCATTCACCAGCTCATCTTCCAAAGGGACATAAGTGATCGTCCACCATCACTGCCCTTCTGCATTCTACATGGTGCAAAGAGGCCAGTCTCTATGGAAAAGAATAATTGAAACAAATCTGTCATTGGACGTGGCTTGTGGGGAATACTTCAGCCTCCCAGGACACTTTGTAACTGGCCACCCTTAATCAAAGGAACTTCAGAGGAGAGTACAACATAAAACCACTGGATACATCAAGAGGTTCAGTGCTATCACCTGTGGACTCAGTTGGCACAACTGATTTTTATCATGTTGGCTTACCAGTGCCAGGATGTGTGTTAGCACCTAGTTTTTTTATGAATGGCCACCGTTAGTAAGGTGATTTATCACCACCTGTACATGTCATATCTTTCTGACCTCACTGTTTATAATTCACCACACACACACAATGCACACACAAGCAAAATCATCTATGTGTGAAGTGACCTGTAGTCCACAAAAGCTTACATCACAACACATTTTTAATTTTTAAAGTGCCACAAGACTCCTTGTCGTTTTTGCACATATATTTTTTTAAAAAGTGAGCCCATGGCATTGCTTCTCTGCTTATAATGGAATCTCAACCAGAGAATGACCACAAAGAAGTAAATCATTTTGGCTGATTTGGTCAATCGTTTTGCTAATACACAGGGCTTCTTGGGGGAATATGTAGAATGTAGAGTTAATGAACTAGTCCAAAATAATAGGTGCTCTGTGGTTTGAAATTCTGGAGGCGACACACTGCCTCCCACATACCACCTACTGTAAATGGTGCTCCTGCCAGTTGGGTGGTGCTGCCATGCAGGAAAGGTTTAGACACAATGGGACTTTGGGGTCATCTAGTTCTCTAATTCTAGGATTTTAACTTTGGTAATCTTTAATGCAGCTTTGCAAATTCTTTAGTAGCTTATGATGACAACTGTAGCATAGCAAATCTATACATGGCCCAAGGACACAGATTTTCATAAACATCTGCTTAAGCATTTTACATTGTGCTGAGGGATTAGCCTCCCCCCCCTTTTTTTTCCCTGGAGGCCAAATTACAGTTTATGTTTCCAAGACAGAGTTGTTTAAGGATCTTCAGGAAAACCGGAGAGAGCAAACAAATATGATTTCAGTATTTAACGAATAGGTAATTGATTTCATTGCAATTACTTAAATTGTGCTCATTCTAGTATGTGAATCATCAGCGAAGTCCTAAAAGCTTGCTGAACCACTTTCAGAAATTTCAGGACCAAAACATTATAGGATGAAGACTCAAACCTATTGGGCCTTGTATTACAGTTTTAAGATGTTCGACTGGGTAATTTGCATTCCCCTCCCCCTACAAAGTTGTGTTGATTTCTATATTAATGATGTGCTTATTTATGGAGACAATGGTTATTTGCAATTGTTTCTATTGTTGTTGTTTTGGATTGGCGTACCTATTGTTAATTGATATGTTGTGAGCTGTTTTGAACACAAACTTGTAGAAAAGCAACATGCAAACAAACAACACCTGGATTGCCAGTAGTACATGTGAAAAGGATATTTAAATGTCTTTAATAAGAACAGAAATTGTGCTCCGGCGGCAGCAGGAGGCCCCATTAGCTAAAGTGGTGCTTCAGGTTAAGAACAGTTTCAGGTTAAGAACAGACCTCCGGAATGAATTAAGTACTTAACCCGAGGTACCACTGTAGTACAAAAGGATCTAGGGGTCTTAGTAGACCACAAGCTTAACATGAGCGTGATGCAGCAGCAAAACAAAGCTAATGCTATTCTAGGCTGCATCAACAGAAGTATAGTGTCAAGGGAAGTAATAGTCCAACTCTATTCTACCTTGGTCAGACCACATCTGGAGTACTGTGTCTGGTTCTGGGTACCACAATTTGATGCTAAAGTTCCATTTCTATGATGCTTGCTGTGTTGCTGACATATGTGGGCCCTTCACATGCGTGTGTGGTCCTTAGACATGTCTCACACTCCATGTGCACATCTGGGCTGGGCTAGGCATACTCCAAAGAGGTTCCCATGATGCTTCTGGGTTTGTATGTCATGAGTATTTATATAAGGTTTCATCAGTCAACAAGTGATGGACATGTATTTCAGAAACAGCTACAGTTCTACCTTAGACACCACGAACTACAAGCTTGCTTCCCCCAAGAATATCTGTTTTAATATTTTATGCCCAGCTGACACTTGAGCACCAAGTCATAAAACCGACATTTGGGAAGGAAATATTACTTCTCTTCTATGCACCCTACCCTTCCTATCTGAACTCTGTGAAGGAGACTAGACTGAGCAACTGTAACTTGCCCAAGGCCACCCACTGGATTTCATAACTGAATGGAAATAATAGTAAAGCAATGACACCATATTGGTTCCAGTGAATCTGGCATGTACTGTGTAGAAGAAGAATGATGCAGACATTTAGTATTCTACTAAAATAGCAGTTAGGCCTGTTTTGCTACCTGGAGCCTATTGATTTCTATAAAACTATATCAATATAAATGGCTTGTGAACCACCCCTTAAATTTCCTAGGATTTATATACCCATGGATATTACAGATATTCTCAGAGGTAAATTCCCCCCACCTCGTTGTTCCTATAGCATGCAGGGAAATTATTTATGCTATCATCTGTGTCCCGAAATAATAAAAAAGAAGGGTTCAGGGTTTGTTGTAAACCACTCTGATGTTTTTACTATAGCATTCCCTGTCAGTAATTACCTGGACCAATGAATTAGCATGTTCCTTGAAATCCCGCATACATTCCCCCACAAAACTCTGTTTGCTAGTGTGTGTTGAATAATGAAATTTATCTCTTTAATTCTTGCAGGCCAGAAGAAGTTGGTATTGTGATAGGAAAACATAATTTTAAAAACATGTCCCTTTTTTTTACCAATTAGATGCACAGATAAAAGTGAAGACTGTTTTCTCTAGCCTATTTATATAACTATAAAAATGATTTCAAATCACAAAGGCTAATCTAAAGTTGATATTATATGGATTTTTTTTGGTATCCAGCAAGTCACCTTGTAAGAACAAATGCATGTTGTCGTTCTACAGTTGGGGAAAGGTAGGCTATAAAGGTATGAAGATAACGAAATAATTTTAAAAATGGGCTGCTTGTCAGTTGGAGGCCTTGAGGCATTTTTTTTGTACCTTTCAAATTTTGCAGTTCCATGCCTGACTTTTGTGGAGATCTGAATTAAGAAATAAGAAAAAGTTAGGAGGAGTACTGAGCTTTAAACATTATCCCCCCCACCCCATTTAAGAAAGTTTTTGGGTGTGTTTCATTTTGTTTTACAATATTATTTTTAAAACTTAAATGCCATTTATTTGTGGTTGGAATTCCGTGCTACTCAAACTGGAAAAGGTAGAAACAAAATATTGTGCTGCTTCTGGGATTAGTGATAATATTGATTTAAAAAGAGACCCACACCAAAAAAAGACATTCTTCTAGCAAAGTGCTAAATTGCCATTTCTGTCTTTGTAAATCTTTAGAAATTCTACACAACTGAGATTACAAAATCTTTGTGAAAGATCTTTTCCTTTATCTGTCCAAGGGATGTGGAAACTGTGACCCTCCAGATGTTGTTGGATTCCAGCTCCCATCAGTCCCAGCCAGCATCATCAGTGGTTAGGGCTGATGGGAGTTGTAGTCTAGCAACTTCCAGAGGGCCACTGATTCCCCATCCTAACCTACCCCAGGCAGAATAAACATGCAGAGATGCACTTGAGCCTTGCATCACTTGCAGTGTGTGTGGAAGGAACCCAACCTGAGCAGAGTTCATAGCCCTTATTAGCATGATCTCCACAGGCTCCATCCCATACTTCAACAGGATGCAGTTACACTCCAGACAGTTATATTAGCTTGCATAGTTTTTATTTTGAATGCTGGAACCAAAAAATCCTTTGGGTTGTCTGCCTATCACCTATCTTCTCAACCTTACAGAATGAATAGGTAGCATTAAGTGTGGTGTTAGAACCTTTGAAATAAGTTCCTTCTTAACTCATAAGAAAATAAGAATAGACTTCTGGATTGAGTCCAGTGGCCCATTTAGTCCAGGATCTTGTTCTCACAGTGAACAGCCAGATGGTAAATTACCGTAAGTTTAAAGTCTTCATGGTCTCCATAATGGGGTGGTTTAAATGGAAGCAGGAAGCTGCCTTATACTGAATCAGACCATTAAGTCCATATAGGTAGCTCAGTATTGTCAGCACTGGGTGACAAAGCCGATATGCTATCACTGAGATATGGCCTTTCCTTCACCTGGGCTTCAGTCCAACTTTAGGGTTGCAATGAGGCTGATGTGAGGGCAAGGAGGAGCTACTATTAGCCGGCAACCACAATCCTCCTTAAAAGAATTGGATATAATAAATATGCTCCTCTGTACTCAAGCTTTTGTCCTCTATTTTTCTTTAACTAACAGAACCCCAAAATCATGTTTATATTTATATATCTGCAATACAATCTCTTTAAAGATATACAGACATGCCCCATGCCCTGTATTGCTCGACTACATGTAATAGCAAGAGAAGTCTCTCTCTGTCTCCCTCCCTCTCTCTCTCTCTCTCTCTCTCTGTGTGTGTGTGTGTGTGTTTTCCACATGAGGACGTTCAGATCCAGAAATAATGACTTTGACTTTAGCCAGACCCCTACAGGTGGTAGATAACAAGAAAGGTGGGCCTGATTGAAGAAGACAAGTGTGGGCCGCCAGGGTCACATTCCAAATGGTCTTTAGGGGATAAAACTGAAAAGAATTTAAAGCCATCACTAGACAAGATTTCAGTGACACAGAATCTTAATGAATTTGATTTCTATCAGCCTGGTTTTTCCTCCACTAGAATATAGCTTTAAATAACAAAAGGGCAGAGGGCCAGTTGCCTTATGTTCACTGGGTCATGAGGCCTTCTTTCTGCACACAATTATCAGCAGCAAGCATTTTGTGCCAGTCCCCCCTTCCTCGAGAGCTTAAGAACTGAGGGAAAGGAAAGGTTTCTTTTCTCACAAAGGAATTGGTGGAAAGCCTTGTTCTCTGAGATGGTAGGTGAAATGTTTGTTCATGCCAGTCCCTACACCAGGAGTTGCCAACCTTTTCAGATCAGCAGGCACATTTTACAATTTTGAGAGAGTGCTGGAGCTGCCAGTCACAAAATAGCTGCTGCTATGGAGGTGCATGTCGTAACACAAAATGGCTGTCAAAAGGAGAGAGGCAGTCCTGCCTTCCCCTGACAAACATACCATGGGAGGTCAGCTATGTCCTGATGGTCCTGAATGTGGAGGGCACTGCCATTTCAGTTTTAATTTCAGTATTGTTTTTATTGCATTTAATACTGTGATTTTAATTCTTATGAAAGGTGCCTTGGACAGTGGTAAGGCAGGCTACATTTTAAAAAAACAAACAAAAAACCCCCAAGAGATAGATTATTATTATTATCATATCTGTGCAACCTTTTGAAAAACAAGTACAAAAGTTTGATGTAATCAAAGCCACATACTGAAAGACGTGGCTTGAATCCAGGTTCCTCCAGCCTGAACCACACTTAACATGAACTGGGAAAAATCATTCCATGCTTGCCTCCTGCTGAAAACAAAAAGGGCTACTATGTGTGCATGCCAGCCACTTCTGTACCTCAATAGCGAAAGGCACATAATTTCTCCTTTCTTTTCCTCTCTTCTCCCTTTAGCCATGAGCATTGATAGATAAGATCTATCTACTTGCAAAATCGCTTTAGTTGGTTGCTTGCTACCTACCCCCTCAATCTCAGCACACACACAACACTTAATTACCTTTAATTATTTTTGTTACATTTACAGTTAGAGCAGCTGGGAGGCACTCATTTTTCCTTTGCTCAAGTTCAAAAAATGCCTAGCTTGTGGTTAGCTGCATATTTTAAAAAACACACACAAAAGATGTCGTGAAGAATGAACACGGTGGAAAATGAACACACCAGTATTTCCCCAGAGGTAAAATAAATCCAGTAATAATCTTCCAGAGGTTCACTAATCAAACACTGACATCTTTTTCTTTTGCAATAAATATAACAAAGAAAGTGATTGTTAGTCCTATGGCACACTTCCGAACACCTGGACTCCGAAAGAAAGAGCTGAGCCTCCAAGAATGTAAAACAAGAAGGAACACAAATATGACAAGATTGCTGAGGCGGTAGATGCACAGAAGGTAAGACTAAACAACAAAGGAGTGAGGAGCCGAGTAGCTTCAACCCTGCTGTTGTGTGCTACTCCCTGATGTCTACACATACAGCATGAACATGAGGCCCTCTTGAGGGATGACGGCTGTATAAGCAGACACCAAGACACCATGTGCAATGTCCAGGACAGAGCCATTCAATATAGCCCTGCTTCTTGCACCCATGTTCAACAAGGGGTTGGACAATACCCAAAGAGGGCTTAAATCTGTCAATAAATGGGATTGCTAATTCCTGACATTGGGCAGGGCTCAGAGAAGTCACTTCATTTTTGTACATGTGGGGCCTCCGCATTCCCTCTCCAGCTGAAGCTTCCTAGTTCTGCTTCCTTCCATCTGTTGTCTTCAGCCTTGGGTCCCCAGATTTTGTGGAACGACAACTCCAATTTAGCCAATGGCCATGGATGGTGGAAATGGTAGCCCAACAACATCTGGGGACCCACGATTGAAGAACACTGCTGTAGGGGGTCCCTTGACCCTTGAGAATGGCTTTTTAGGAGATGTACTGGGATACAGTGGAATGGAGAAGGTGAAAAAGAACTATCGCATGGGCATAATGGGCCTGCAATTTTCTGGATCCTCTCCATTAGAAATGGATCATGGATGCATTTGATATACTTTCTGAGTAGGGAAGAGTCTGTACTAGAATAGCAGGCTGTGAACAGGGATTAAACTCCAATTCCACAATTGGTGTGGAAACAGCTTCTTTGTGGCTTCTCACATTGGCCCAGTAATCTCAAGACAAGGTGGGTGGGGGTGGTGATGATCATGAATGGTGTAGTGTTCATCTCAGTTGAATTTACTTAGGTGCAGGGCTTTTTCTCATTCGGAACTCACTGGAACTCAGTTCCAGCACCATTGCCATTACAAGGGAGCCTTTCATGGTAAGTTCTGGCACCTCTTTTTATAGAATAGCATTGCAGGTGTTTCAGTTCAATTTCATTACAAATTGCACATCTGAAAAATAATAATACTTAGGCTGGGTCCAGATTAAGTAGGTAGGATTCATTTCCCAATTAAGCCACACCTAACTTGTTCCATGGATTTCAACAGTACTTAATTCAGTCTGGATCCATCCTATGGTGTTTACATTCTGCATGTTTTTGCAGTATTACTAGCAAAGTCTAAGTCAAACTTTCTTTTTCTACGTTCTCTCTTGATTGGTTTATACTTCTTTTTCTTTTTTTGAGAAAAAGGAAGAGAGAAATAACAATTAAAACTTTAACTTGATTCATTTTTTCTAGTACAAATAGCTTCTCATTGAAAGAAACTTCTGTCTCAATGATTCATTAGAGGTAACCACCCATATCTTAGTTCATCAAAAGTTCATTACATTCCAATCTCTTTAAAATGCTGAGTCAGAGGAACATGATAATGGAAGAAGCATAGAAAACAATATATCCAAAAACTGAGTACAGTTGTAAACGTCTTATGTAGGGGTTGTAGTGCTCTTTATTTCTTTCCTATAACATTTGACAACTGACATCTTTTATAATCAAGAATGCAGATCTACTTAGTTTTCTCTTTGCTTTCAAACACCTGAAAATTTCATTTGCAGGACCAATACTAGGTCAGTTGTTCTATTTAAGGAGATTCAGTTGGTGGCTCCAAATCTTTGCATCTTCTGTGCCCACTTTGGGAAGCCTAGAGGTATTTGGAAGCAAATCTGCACTTCTCAGTCTTAAGTGCAAAACTGAGCTATGGCTTAGAAACCAAGCGATAGCTGAGGTCTGGTCTCCCATAGTCCAGTCTTCCCTGAGTTTAGCATCTGCACCAGCCTGCACTAATGGCCTTTGCAGATGATCAAAACTAATTTAATTCATTAAACACCATTTGCAGTTCACTGTTGGGCTTTAAACATTAAACAGCACTAGCTCAGATCAAGCGCTAGTAGTGGAAGATGCTGGGTTTTCTCAATGATTAACTATTGCAGATTTGAGATATGATTTCTCTCAGATGAGGGACCTTAGACCTGGGGGCTGAATATAGGCCTTCCAGGCCTTTCCATCTAGCCCTTAGCTCTCTCCTCAGGACACCCCCCTCCCACTTCCCTACTTTAAACCATCCTTTGGGGTGGGATTTCCCAAACCTGGGTCTCCAGCTGTTTGTGGAGTATAAGTTCCATCATCCCTAGCTAACAGGACTGGTGGTCAGGGATGAAGGGAGTTGTAGTCAACAACAGCTGGTGAACCATGTCTGGGAAGCCCTGCTTTAGGGCTTTTATTTCCTTTTCTAGAATGTGTCCTTCAACTTTAATACTTTTCTGGAGGGAGAATAAAGACTTCAGTGTGCTATATTATCCAGTTTATCATGAGATGACTGGAAAATGGAGTTATGATATCATCTCTGAAATTAAATATATACATGCATGCTGTATCAAAAAGTCTATGGAAATAACGATTTCCCCTCTCACATGTGCTGTTACCTCAGGAGAAGATTGAAAGCTGTTTTAACATTCTTGTCTTAACACCAGGCGAGTCTACAAATCTGTGCATTGTGCGATATTTCATTTGATTGGGAAGAACAATGAATATTCAGAAGTTAACCCTCTTAGTTTTATTGCACCTCTCTTTTCCCCCATCTGGCCATTACCTTATCTGCTTTGAATAGAAAGCTTTATTGTTGCCAAGGCTGCTTCACTTTCTCTTAAACCATAGCGTTGCCTGACTCAAAAATTCCAGTCACTACGGAGTTTGTAGCAAAAGGCCAATTAACTAATTTCACCAGCCTACTGAAAGGAGTAGACTTTTTCTAATGAAAGCTGTTTAGCCAATGTAAGGCTATATAGTAAAGTTTCCCAAGAACATAAGAGGATGCCTTCTGGATCATCCCAAGGCCATCTAAATTTGCAGTCTTCACCACATCACAAGTGGGGAGAGCGCTATTTCACTCAGTCTGCAATGCAGACTTTCCATAACCATCAAGCTTGCCACTGTGAGGGCAGGATGCTGTACTAAATGAGTCTTTGATCTGATCCAGCAGGGCCTTTATGGCAGCAAATTACTAGTTCAAATATGCACTGTGTGTCTGTCCTGAATCTTCTTCCATTCAGTTTCATCAGATGACTCCAAATCCTAGTGTTATGAGATTGGGTGGGGGGACTTCTCTGTCTACTTTCCACACACTGTAAAAGCTTGTCAGAACAAAAATGGCTTCAGTTGTGGGAGTCCTTGTAGCTTCCCTACATCTTCTGCTGCGAGTACAGATGCAATGATTTATTTTTTGCAAAGCTTTCCGGCAATTTCCTTATCCCCCTTATCTGATTTTTAAATGTATTTTAATACTTTAAAAGCAACATGTGTGTATTTATTTGTTGTATTCATTTGTTGTATTTGTTGTATTTATTTATTTGTTGTATTTATTTGTTAGTCCTAATGTTTTTAGTGAAGGGCATCTTATCCTCCTCCCCGCAAAAAATCTGTTCACATTTTTGCCTGAGCTAGGTTGCGTTTAGTTCTCATTTGAGTAAGAATTCCATTTTCTGACAGAAACCTTGTGTGCAATAGTTGCCTAGAATCTGCTTTTTAATAATGCCGGTCTTCTTGGACTTGGAAGATGCATTTCAGACTAGGAATCAAACTCCTAAACATGTTTTGTGCAATCCCCCATCCACACAAAACCGTAAGTGTGATGATGGTCTGGAAATGTATTATTGGCTTATGAAGTATCATCATTTCCAAAGACAGTCAAAGCTTTCTCTCAAACTATCCTCTTCCCTCCCTCTTATGGCCCCCAAATGGCTATAATATGGTATCTCACTATCTTGTTAGTTTCTGCAGGACTGCATTTTGTGTGTGCAAGATGTACGTTTTTGCTGACCTGTTACAAAGACACCTGAGTAATGAGCCATGCAGTAAAACTTCCAGAAATCCTCTATAAATAGCATTTTCTAATTCAAGGGAGGACTCTTCTCTTTTGTTCAGGCACATGATTTAAGAATACCAAAATGCACTATATAACCAGTTACCAAGTAGGGCTGGCAGATTTAGCAGTTCGCCAGCGACAGTACAAAATGTAGAGAGATTCTCTTATTTGGGACACTACTCAACATCCACATCTTGTTGTTGCTGCTGCTGTGGTAGTTGTTATTTTACAAATTAGTTTTTTGTGACCATGCCCAAAGGTCACACAGGGCTCTTGTAGCACAGGAAGTTTAGAAACTGGTGTACAAATGGTTGACAGAGTCTCCCATTTTAAGTTGTGTTTCATGGCAGTCCACATTCTATGGGCTATATTCATGGACCCAATCATGTCACCAAGAGTGGCCCATTAGGAGATTTCTCTATGGGTACCAAATGCACCATCGTAAGCCCTTTTGCTGCTTCTTGCAAGCTCTTAAAGTGCCCCCAGAATCCTCTAAAACAGTAGAGCGGATTCTGGGACACCCTCTCATTTTGTACACAGGGTGACACAAAGCCTGTGATGGCACAAACACATCAGGTAACCCTGCAAACACTTCCTCCTACAAATTTCTGGCAAAGAAAGCAGCTATCCTGTTACTGTTCAGGTTGCTGTATTTACAGTTTTCATTTGAATTCAACCCTTCAGCACCAGCATTCAGAGGAAAGCAAAGCAAATACCTCACAGCCTGTAATTTACTCAAAATAATTTAGCTATGCTTTCTGTACTCCCAGCACACTTATTCTGTGATTTCCAGTTGTTTAGGAATATTTCAAAGGGGTTTCCTTTTTTCGATCTCTGGTTTAGTATCAGATTGTGGACAATGTCTTAATACTCAGCAGCTGCATTTTAATGTGAACCTACCAAATGTACAGGTCCCAAACCAATACACAAATCTAAACACAGCTCTCCTTTGAAATTCTCATTTCTCCAAACTTTGCAATGCAGTCCTTCAACCAAGGAACATGTGTAAAAATAAAAAGCGTAAAAAGCGTATGTAACCTGAGGTACCACTGTATTGCAAAAGTGTATACAAAGAGATCTATATCAGAGAAAGGTACATACAAAAAATGTGTTCCATTAGAGGGAAATGGCTTGAGAAATTCATATATTCTAGGCAAAATTTCATACATAATGCAAATACTGAGAGAAATTGACCCCAAAAACATGAATTTTCATGCAGACTTTTAATGGATATTAATGAAAATGCAGACATATATAGCAATGGGGTGAGCCAAATCTGATTGGAAAAAGGAGAAACAGAGAAAAAACAATGTTGACAGATTCACCCATCTTCAACTCAGTCATTTGTGCAGCGCTAATAGGTAAGATTTTTATGCTGTTGGCCAATGATAGCTCCTTGATAAGTGTACCACATATTTGTCACATTCACACTTCACATGTGTAGCAGTTAATTTAAAATATAGGCTTACATATAAAAATGTAATTTGTGAGTCAAACTACTATATTCCTATGACAAAATGTTTTGTTCTATTCTATTTTTATCCTACCCATCCTTTGAGGAGCTTAGAGCAACACAGAGCTCATGGTTCTCCTCTCCACACTTTATCCTCACAACACTGTGAGATAGGTTGGGCTGAGAGAGGCTGGGCAGGAATTTGAACCGGAGTCTCCCTGATCCTATGCAATCCCTGATTGTTGGACTACAAATCCCATCAACCCAAGATAGGCCAATAGTCAGGGATGATAGGAGTTGTAGTCCAACAACATCTGGTAGTCCAGAGTTTCCCTATCCCTGCTCTTTACTTTGCTGGCTTCCAAAATAGGAATTTTGACTGAGGTAACAGATAAACAGATATCTTTTTATTTTTATTTTTGACATGATTAGGCTAACATAGATTATAATGATTTTGATCTAACCTTCCGTTTAATTTTCCTGATTTAATTACAGTAGAGCAGTTTTCTAATATAGATGCAATATTTAATCCATGGCCATGGCCCTTCTGTTTGTTTGTGTGACTCTTTTTGAAAAACGGTTTCTGCCTTCTGAGAATGCTTAGAGAAAGGGCAAAAGTTTTAGGAGACCAGTGAGAAGAATAAATTGACTTCCTTCTAGGGTAGCTACCTGCAGTGTAGCAGAAAGCTTAAAAATTTTAGTTTTTAAGAATCCAGGGACCTGCACTTGTGTTACAGCAATACAGAGAATTGTTAGGGTTTTTATAAAAACACCACAAACAGCAAGTCTCTATATAAAGGGAGGCAAAGGAGAAATATTATTCCTCACCACCAGAGAAGTAAGAGATTGATTCAACCCCTTCCCTCTGAATGAGTTTTGCTTTGAGGTGACTGGAAATACCGTATTTTTCCGTGTATTGGACGAGGTTTTTTGACTCAAAAATCACGTCATCCAATACACGGATAGTGGCATCTGTTGGTGGGAGCGCAACTTCCCCTGATGCCACAGCGAGCAGGGAGTGATCTGGGGGGTTTAAAGTTATGCAGTTTAACATTTCTGTGCTAAAGAACAAGAACATTGGAAATATTACTGCAAAGCAAACCCAAGTCCTTATTTAAACTATTTGCCATCCAAGTTAGTATTTAGCTTTGCAGTTTCTGGTGAAGAATATGCCAACAGAGCTTCTACCACCACCAACAGCAGCAGCAGCAGCAGCAGCAGCAGCAGCATTATTAAATAGCCTTCTAAGCAGTTTACAAGTATAAAATCCAATTACACAAGCATTAAAATACTGTTTGTGGGTGCAAGACACCCCAAATTCCCGATCCAGCTAGTGTTAGAATTAAATTAAGGCTTAGACCGAGTGTTAAAACTGGTTGCTAGACTCATGTGTGTATTTGAACTGTGTACTAGATACCTTGAGCCCTCTGGAATCAACATGCATCAAAAGCTAATTAAGCCAGGACTAGCCTCTTACATGAGCTGATAGTCTGGGAGTAATGAATGTTTAGGATCAAGGGCATAGCTGTCAAGTGTCCTTTATTTGAAGGGACAGTCCCTTATTCCCGTGCCATGCCCCGCTGCTGTCCCTTATTGATGAATGTCCCTTAAATGTCCCTTAAATGATGTCCCTTAAATTTCAAAGGAAGCAGCTCCTCTCCCTACCTCCCTGCCGGCCAGGGAGGAGGGAGGCTCCAACTGTGTTGCTTGGCTGTGTTGCTCACCCAATAAGAAGTCTAAGAACGACTGGGGGGTGGAGCTTGCATGCCTTGTGTGTGGCTAGTTAATGCAAGCTGAGGGGTTTTTTTGAATGCTGGACGCCATTTTGTTGCATGTGCTGCTGCAAACTTTGCAGTGCAAAGCCAGGCCGGGGAGCCATCTTAAGTTGAGGCTGCATAGGCCTTGTGGTGCATGTGATTCAGATTCTATTCAGTTGAACCTCTGGTTACAAAGTTGGCTGGACAGTGTTCTCGAAGCTACCAGCATGAGTTTGACCAGACTGCAGGAGGACAGGAAGACTGGAGTGCCTGGAACAGGTGAGGCTGCAGGTCCCTTATTTTGGCTGCTGGTCCCTTATTTTCAAGGCTACTGGCCCCTTATTTTCAAATCTGTAAGTTGACAGCTATGATCAAGGGCAACTTTCATTTGCAAATGAGTGGGCTTACTCATTCCCTCCCTCAACTGAGAGTTAGTTTAAAAAGACAATGCCAGTGTTTTAGGTTAGGATTTTAGAATTGCAGTTGGGAGTTATGTGACAGAGATAGTAAGCAGTGGGTTTGAGAGTAACATTTGAGACAAATGGTTGGGTGACAAATCTAACCCACCCACCTCCCTCCTGACATTGGATGCAATAGGAGTGAAGCTATAGGAGTGAAGTTATCCCTTTCCCTAAGAGATGTCCTGTTTTCCTATTAGCTATTTATCTACTTGTTTTTTTTATTCAAGAGCCATTGGAGATTCTAGAGATTCTCCAATACTCAAGTGAGTATTCCATGGCAAATGCATTTCTTACAGGGAGTTTTGCATGCAAAATGAAAATCCACCCTCCAGTGTGGAGTAATGGTTTTAGTTGCTGAGTATGTGTGATTAGCATTGGGTCAGGAATGGCTGAAACAACTTCATTTATGATATGGATATTCCTGAGATACTTTCTCTTCAGTAGTTAGTCGGCTTTAGTTAATATAAATCTGTCCTGCTGCCAGTGCAACATAAGCAAAAATGGGGAGGAGTATCTATCACTTGCTAAATGTCATGCCTCCTCTGTGCATTGTACATTAAATCCCAGGACCAATATTTAATGTCTTTTCTGTCTCAGAGTGCAGAGCTAGCCCTGCCAATTCACATTGAATCAATTCAAGCAGTAATACATGTTTAATTTAGCACAGAGCAGATGACTCGCACTGGCAAGAAATACCTACTGGATGATAGCTTTGGCAGTAATCCACACCCAACAAATGATAGTCCAAATATTTCCATCCTATTAGTGAGAGTTATGGGGCAATTCAGTTGGGTTACAGCTTGATAATTAAGGTTTTAACTTGTTCATAAATGACCCGGAGTTAGGGGTGAGGCAGTGAAGTGCCCAAGTTTGCTGGTGACACCCAATTATTCAGGGTAGTTAAAACAAAAAGGGATTGCAAGGCGCTCCACAAAAAGCGTGAATGGACATGAAAAATCCATATGCAGTTCATCTCAGTGGTACAACCTCTCACTTCTTTACTGCTGGATATGGCACCTAATTTATTCTTATACGAAGCCTGATTATTAATGTGCAGGTCAGTTTGTGTGGCAAAATACATTGTCTGCATAACCAGGTGACATCTGAAAGTACAGAAGTTGGCCACTGATCTTCCCCTTATGGTAGAAGAAGAGAAGAAGAGTTTGGATTTGAAATCCCGCTTTATCACTACCCTAATGAGTCTCAAAGCGGCTAACATTCTCCTTCCCTTCCTCCCCCACAACAAACACTTTGTGAGGTGAGTGAAGCTGAGAGACTTCAGAGAAGTGTGACTAGCCCAAGGTCACCCAGCAGCTGCATGTGGAGGAGTGGAGACCCAAACCCGGTTCCCCAGATTATGAATCTACTGCTCTTAACCACTACACCACACTGGTAAAGGTAAAGGTAAAAGGACCCCTGTCAATTAGGTCCAGTCACGGACGACTCTGAGGTTGTGGGGGAGGAAGGGAATGAGGATGTGGCTCATCTCGCTTTATTGGCCGAGGGAGCCAGCATATGGCTTCCGGGTCATGTGGCCAGCATGACTAAGCTGCTTTTGGCAAACCAGAGCAGCACACGGAAACACCATTTACCTTCCCACCGGAGCAGTACCTATTTATCTACTTGCACTTTTGATGTGCTTTCAAACTGCTAGGTTGGCAGAAGCAGAGACCAAGCAACGGGAGCTCACCCCGTCATGGGGATTCGAACCGCAGACCTTCTGATTGGCAAGCCCTAGACTCTGTGGTTTAACCCACAGCGCCACCTGCATCCCGTCCCCTTATGGTAGATCATTACTAATTATCTAAAACAATGGAGGATACTGACGAATTAGCACACCTACTCATGTCTCAAATTGGTGAGCATTGTATACTGATTACCATGCTAGGTCAATCCTCTTTATCAGCAGTTCCAGCCCTACCATTAGGCAGATCTCCTTAGATGGCAGTCAACATTTCAATGAAGCTATCCACCAATATCCCAATACTTTTTTTCCTAATTAGTGCAAACCCCATTCATGTATTATGTTAAGTTGGGGGGGTTTTTTGCCCACATGTAAATCATTTTACATGTTTACATTGAAATGCATTTCCAATTTTAATGCCCACTCACCGTGTCTTGAGCTCCTCACGACACCTCATCCTTTTTTAACCACCATGAATAATTTGGTGTCAATAATACAATCAGTGTAGCATATAAATGGATTAATTTTATTGTATACTAGAGTACACATTGCTGTCATAATAGGAGTTTGTTTTTGTAATTCTTGCTGTAAGTACAAACTGTACTTACAAAAAACTAACTTCAAAAGGGCCCCATTTCATTTGACACAAGAAATGCAATTTGAATGGGTTGCAGATCTCAGCCAAAATAGTATGCTTAGGTTATGACCTGCCATTGATTTTACAGAAGAAAATATTAAGCTTTCATGGAAACCTTTTTAACTGTTTTAGAATTGATCCATGCTAGAGCTCCAATGGAAGGAGAAAGAAATCTGATAATCAGATTTGACATTTTTGTTATTGTATACTTTTGCTAGCTTGATAGGAATTAAATTAGAGCAGATTTGCACTTGGGCTCAAAAGTCTTGTCCCAAACATCAGGGATCGAGGTGCTATTTTAAAATCTACATTCTTATTGAAATTGATTGGCAGGTATTTGTGGAACAATAATTGGGATATGTACACAAATCCCTAATGATGCATTATCAGGGTTTGATTTTGTTATCATTAGGGTTGTCAACCAATCCAGCAAATTACAGTAAATGGATTTCATTAACTGATTAAATCTGCATACACCTGTATGTGAATAAAACAATAGTTTTGAAGAAAAAAAGTGTTATTTGGCCTTTTTAGCTGATGCCTGCCTGTGCTGCAGCAGGCATTATCTTAAAAAAAGAGGTTCCCTCCTGGCTGAGAGAAAAGTTTTTCCCCTCCAATAATCTGCCACCTATAGCTTTTATCAGTTCTTACATCAGAAGTAAAAAATAGTTGCCTGATTTAAATGGAGACACCTGTTAAGTTGATCAGAAGTATTTTTGATCGATTTTGTGGCACTCACTCTCATGCTGGTTGACCTCTGCAACAGGGCTAATGCAGTAACACATTTGTGTACTTCTACAAGTTGAATCAGCAGCAAACAATAGTTGTAAAAACACCCACAGACACACTCACAGAGCCCTTGAAAATTCTGTCATCATTCATGAATTAGGATGTTGGTCACTGATGAGGACCATATTATGTATGCAGAGATGGCACCATCAGTTAATGGCTGGAAAATGCTCTGATGTTGCTGAACCAAGCATACAGATACCCTCACTCCAGATACAGAAAGCAAGTACTGCACCTTTTCCTGCTTAAGTTGTTATGGTCTCAGTACAGAACCAGAAAATAAGCTCTGGTCCCTCAGTGGGATCAATGCCCAAACACTGAAGATGTACACTGTGCTTTTTTCGGGGGGGGGGGGACACAGGGGTACGCATACCCCTAAACATTTTGTGAATCTAAGTTTGGCCTCATTGAGGGGCAGTAGGGAAATGAGAGTACACCTAAACATTTTTTTTTAGATAAAAGCACTGGATGTACATAACACTTCACACATCATAGTCACCCAGTTGCAATTTTGAATGGTGGAAAAATCTGAAAAACACCCCATTTTCTATTGTTTTGAAAACAATAAAAGTGTTTTGCATTTCTTTCTAGCCATTGCTCTCGCAATCAGTTGCTTCATGAGCACGATGTTTATATTTTAATAGACGTTGCCTACACTCTCTCTGCTTCCCCAGCCCAGTTAGTGTGTGATTAAAGACTTTTTGCTGTGCACTGATGTACTAGATTTTAATTAGTAATATTAAGACCTTCTCTGCACATCAAATTCTGAAGCACACACCTATTATGTACAGCTAAAAATGCAACGGGTAAGGAGACCCTTGTCTGCTTACTTAAAAGTACTTGGTTGCTGTGACAATCCTCCTATCAGTGGATCAAAGATTCCCTCACTTTGAATTATGCTATGTGCTGTTCCAGAGGTATTGTCTGGGGGAAAATGGTGGCCAAGCAAAACTTGTGGTGGCAGCCAAACTCCATTTTAACAACAACAGCAACAGCAGCATCAGCAACAACAGCTCTCCCTTTTTAATTCTTCCCACCCCAAAAAACTTGTCAGAATGTCCCCCATAAACTGTAAACAGAACTATCTTCTTCTGCTTCTTCATCATCATATTTGTATCTCACCTTTCTTCCATGGAGCTCAAGGAGGCTTACATCATTCTCCCCATTTTATCCTTTCAACAACCCTGTGAGGTAGGTTGGGCTGAGAGTATGTGACTGGTGCAAGGTCATGCATTGAGCTTCCTGGCCAAGTGAGGATTTGAACCCTGGTCTCTCAGGTCATAGCCCAACACTCTAACCACTATGCTATGCTGTCTCTCTTTCTCCATGAAAGGTGGGGCATTTTATTTTACAATGAGCATACATTTTTCTTGGGTTCATTTGCTATGACAATGAAAATGTGAAATTCTGTTTTGGATTTACCTCTACATAGATGCACAGCATAGCACACTCCAGCCTGTGAAAGAAGATTCTTCATGAATGAGTCATTGTTGAACTGGCTGCTCAAAAGGAAGCTCAGAGTAGTCCATAAATCTTCCTTACATTCCGTTATTAAAGAACATGGATTTTTGTCTGGTAAATAAAGGGAAAACACTCATTAATCCACTTAGTTCTTGTATGAGGAGGCAGGGAAGGGGAAATGATGCTTTACGAGCAGCAAACATTTTGTAGACAAAAGAATGGTCTAAAAAAAAAAAATCCAAAACACCAGTCTGAAAACCTTTCAAAACTAATACATCATGACTTTGAATCTGTTATGTTGTCTGCACAGCCTTGTTCTGTTGTAGTGGGTTAACTCAACTGAATTATATATATTATAGAGAGAGATTTCTATCAGAATGAGCCAGATGTTTGCCAGCGTGGGATCTGGAACATCTGTCCTCTACCAGTTTAGCTGTTTCACCAGCATGGTGCATGTCATGAGAAATACCATCAGAAAGCTGAAAGGGAGAGGAAAATAATAGATTGTGGGGCAGTATTCAACATTTGTCATACTCTGAGTAGACCAATTAAAATTAATGGACATGACTAACTTAGGTCTGTTCACTTCAGTGGCTCTACTCAGTGTAGAACTTAGTTGGCCACACTCTTATGTGCAAGGAACTACCATACACATAATAATATTCTGCTAGGAATAGCAGTAAGGAAACGGCTTTTTCAGGCAAGGTCATTAAAACAACAGCAGTCGGCAGGTATCAGTAGCCAGCAAATCAGCTGGGTTCATGGTTTTGGAGAGCAATCCAGAACAACTCCAGGATCGGAAGAATAACTCTACCGGATAAAAATGCAGCTAGGTTGCCCACCCCACCCCGATACCAAATTTGGATCGAAGTTGATTTGTGGGGAAACGTCTGAAAAAGTTGTATTTTTTTAAAAAAATATAGATAGATACAGGATAGAGATGAATTGTGGCTAAAGGTGTGTGTACATCACTTCCCAAACCAGCAATGGGTGTGCACTGGATGCAGAATAAACAAGGGTGTGTATACAGCTTTAGTATCAAATCAAACAAGTTCAAATTTTATTATGTGGGCACAGATCTGTTAAGAAAAATGTATACAAGGTGTCCACTACCTCATTGATAGAATTTGATTAAATCATGGGTTTTTTTCTGAGGCATTCAATCATCCCATCCATCAAGTATGTGCTCAATATAAAGCATATTTAGTGCCTCAAACTTAGCAGTCTATTAGCTAAAAGAGACAGTTCTCGTATTTCTGAAAGCATATTGGCTGTGAGTCCTGTTCCCTGTTTTGCAGGCCTTTTTGAACCTGGCCTGGTGGGGCTGGGCCCTGACTGACTCCCGCTTTTTGGGTTGGTGTGTTTGGTGGGGGTTTGCTGTTGTTGGTTTTCTGTATCCTTATTTTAGATCTTTTTGTGATTTAGGTGGAAACTGTTCAGTTTCGCTGTGTATTTTTTAGTGTTTTATTATTGTTTATGACTACTTGTGTTATGTGGTAGTTATGTATCATATTTTCATGCTGTACGCTGCCTTGAGCATGGTTTGAACAGTGGAATATAAATAAAATAAAATATAAATAAAATAATGCATGTATGCATGACAGTACTGATAATATGGGTTTGTGGGTTGTTGTTTTTTTAAAAAAAGAATACAGTACTCAGAAAAGGAAATGCAGGCAGTAATTTAGGCTTAAATATGTTTCATGGGTATCACCAAGCATAAGTACAGCTATAATTTAACTTGTGGTATTAATATTACTAAATGTGTATATTTTCAAATAGTTTAATGCATCATTTAGCTAGGTGTTGAGAAAATTATGGTTCTTTTATTTAAAGATGGAGGCTCTTTATGCAGACAATATATTTCATCTATCTTAGTTTATTATCTCGTTTGATTCTAGACAAAGGGTGTCTACAACGAGGGAATCCAATCTCAGTTTTGACAAGGCTTCTCAAATTCAATGCACAAAATTCAAGCTTCAGTGTACTTTTAAGTAAAAAGACCTTGCAACACTCCTTTTGTGTATGTCTCTCTCTCTCTCTCTCTCTCTCTCGTGTGTGTGTGTGTGTGTATGTCTATTTGTACACGGCAGAGAAGTGCTTTGTGAAGTTGCTGCTGAGCTCAAGAGTCTGTGACATTATTAATTGAGAAGGCTACATTTTATTATGGATTGCTAGGTCATTTAAATATGTATGGCTTCCATTTTGGGACTCAAAGCACAATGAGAAAGCAAGTGTGGGCCTGAAAATATTGTTGTAGGTGTCCTGTTTCGATAGGCAAAATGACATTTTTGCTAGGTTTTTGCATGGCTTATGTCTGACGATATTCTATCCACTTGCATTGATGGCTAGATGATTGCTTGAATGAGCATGGATGCGTTTTTATGGCTAGCAGCTGCTAGCTACTGGGCACACCCCACTTACTTGCAAATGTGTGTTTGTGGGCTGGAGAGAAACAGTTTGGAACTTATAAATGCAACCAGTGGGGGGGGGGAAAAATACGAGGCACTACACTTCTGTAAAACAAGAAAATCCTTAATAAAAAAAAATAAAAAAAAATAAATGCAACCAGTGAAGAGGAAAATATCAAGTACAAGTTTTGCAGCTGGCTGGCAAGAATTTGGGGTGCATCAAGAGTAGGTTGTTTGTTTGTGAGCCTAGGTGTTGGTTTGCTCCCCTTGTCTGTACAATGCTACCCCTGGAATTGGTCTCTTGGGAAAATTGGGATGCATGCAGTGTACTTGGTAGCCATGAAGTAGCAATGAGAACCAATGTGATTCAGAAAAGAATGACTGCTGGGCTTCAGTATGAAAGATCTGAATCTGAGTCGCCTTCTCTGTCATGGAGTCATGGGGTGGCTTTAATTCAGCAGGAAAATAATAAAAGAAGAACTACAACCCACCTTTATCCCAACTTATACCTTACTTTAGTAAATGAATACCTTAATATTTGCTGGGTCAGCATTCATATACGTCTATATCATTTAGTGTCTGACAGTATACCAAAGCTGAAAACATGACTGCTTACAAAGAAATTAGCATCTTCCCCATATTGTATGCAAATAATATGTAGCGGATGTTATTTCCTCCCAGGCAAATTGCTTACTCAGCAGACACTCTTAATTACTTCCACTATCTCAGTTTGACTTGCTGTTGAAAATCTATTTGGGTTTTTTATGGTGGTATTTAGAGTCTTCCTTTTGCTTGTGAGTCTGACTTTTTGTACCAGCACTTGGAAGATGGGATACAAAGTTGCCCTTCAAAGTTGGCCATAATTCATGCTTGAATTCTTTGCTCATGAAGGGAAAATAACAATGTTGTAAATATTCTTTAAGCAAAAATGTTTGCATTGAAAGAGACTCAGTGCTTTTTAAAATGTCTGCTTAATTCTACCAGCCTCTTGGTTTGCCATTGTTGTGCTCATATTCACCTGTTCAGTGTGCAACAATTAATGCTCTCTTTATCAACTCTCCACTGTGCACATACAATTGATCTGTAAAGCTTTGAAATATTGTTAAGCAAAAGGCCAAGAGCCCAAAATCTAGAGTATTCTGTAACTCCTCCTTCTCTCCCCCCCTCCGTTTTAAGAAAATAAAAGAAAAATACTGCATCAGTCTAATGAAAAATCAGAATTAAAGACCTTTCTAAAAGATAAATGAGCAGTTCTTTCGAAAAACTCTCCACTCTCTAGTTTTCATGATCATACCTTTTCAGTATCATTTTGGGGGTTATCCTGTGGTCAGAAAAAATGATCATGGCACTTCTCTTCTTCTGAAGATAGTGCAGTCTAGCCTAGTATATTATTGATTTGTGGATTACTGCTTGCTTCTAATTTATCTGCAGGAGACAGAGCAGATAATGGAAACAGCCATGTTGGCAATGCAGCCTGTAGAACACAGGAGACACTGCTTCATCGTCCCAAAGCTCTATTTATCGCATTTGGTTACATCTATTAGTGTAATTCTGTATTAATTATAACTGGCACCTCAGCCCTATAGATCTGCTAGAACAGTAATGTCCTAGGATTTGGGATTCTGTTCTTGTGGCAGTGGCTCTGTGGAGGATGTACCACATTAATAATTACATTGCCCAGTCTTCTCTGTGATCAGAACTAAATGTTTAGACCCACTCTTAAGGGGAAAGCCAGTTGGTCTGAGTTGCACGGAACTGACTTCCTCTTGGCTTCTTGTAAGATTTGCTTTGGCACCTGCAAAAGCCCGAAACAGTTTATTACTTGCTCATAATGTGGTAAATAAACAAGACTGCATGTTATTGTAAATATTATTTTTTTGTAATTATTCTTAATTGTTTACTTATCTTCTGTTGTAGCTTATGGCTGGCTGGCTGGCTGGCTTTATAAGGAGCAAACATAGTCCAAACTGTCATTCTGATAACTTATCATAAGAAAATCCACCCAAAGGTTTGCTTCTATTTTCCTGTTAATTTTTGTTTTGAAAAGTTTGCTAGAATGCGCTGTAGAGATCGCCAGGAGATCTGCTCCTGCTAGTGCTGTTGCAAGAAACAACTTTGTGAACAGTAGGTTGAAACACTAGTACAGTATTGTGTCAGTGGCGTCCGCTGAGTTGTTTGTAAGTATAACATCATTAGCTGGGGCATGACACCAGGAGGCTAATCCTGTGTCCTTTTCCCCCTTTCTTTATAGTGAACTTTGTGAGCAGTGAGTTTCCTTCATTTGGAGATTCATGGGTTTCCTGTTCCATGCCTTGTAGTACTCTTAATTAAGGTGCCTTTTGAAGTCCACATATGGGGTTGTGCCAGCAGAGAACACCATATAGGAAATCTTCTCCCTCCCTTTGTGGAATCTCAGGGTCTGGGCAGTAGAAATCCTTCAAGCATTGAGCCATGGAAGGATGTACATTCAACATCAGAACTTTGAACTGGACTCCGAAAATCAACAACATGGGGACTGGAGGAAGAGGAGGTATTTTGGAACATGTAGATAGATGTGTATTTTATTCAGGAAATGCTAAAGAAATATCCACCGCTTTTATTATAATAACTGCAGTGAAGCTTATTAATTTATGAAGGTGAAGCACCTTGAAAATAAACATGCCTCCACTGATGGTAATAAAAGCTCCATTTATCATTAAGTG